ATCATTAAAAAAATTACCATATTCGCGTCACTGGGGTCACAGTAACGCGGACCGGACGCACCCCGGACGTTTCTGAGAGATCTGAGCAACCACTTAAGGGTGCTGAAGTTGTCACTAGAGTGATTTGAGAAAGAACACGCTAGAGGGATCACTAGAAATGCTCAGAAACGTCCGGTTTGCATTACTGAGACCCAAGAACTTCAGAAAATGAAGAAGCGCGTCGGAGCGAACTTCCTCCATATTGCTCACACTAGAGACGCTCATCAAACTTGCAAAAATGCCATGTTGCAACAAAAAAATGCCTAGAAATTGGCTTCAATACTTCCCCCTCTTTCAATCCATAAAAAATGAGACAAATTACGCGAAGCGCGTCGGAACAAAGTTGCAGCCGGCCGGGCCGTCTGAATTTTTCAACTTTTTTGCACTTCCTTTATGTAGTTCTTTTTTTCTGCTGTGTCAGAAAATTCAGGAGCATGGAAAATTAGTGAAAAAGCTGGATAATTATGATATCTAATGGGAGGTTTCGATGATCTTTTGAGCTTGTTGGTCTCGAATTTTTGAAATATGTACAAAAAGTCTTTTTTATTCGGTGCCTGGAAGTCAAAACCAGATGAAATTATCGAAAAAATGGTTTGAAAAATCCTAATTTTGAAAAAAAAACCTCTTCTTTAAATTTAGCATGATTTTTTTGTTTCTAGATACTTTGAGACATCAAAAAATTTTGAAATCGAAAAAAAATCATTTCGAAAAATTCCTTCTGTTCAAAAAGACCCTTTTTTTCAATACCCTATAATCTGGGACAATCTGGTCGCATTTGGAATGGCTCTGAGGTCCCCTGCCATTTCTAGCTGTCTCTATGACGCAGCGCGCGTAACTCGTTTTGGGTCGGGCGCACCTTCAAACCAACTTCTTATCAACTTTCTGGCTTCAAGCCATTCCAAACGCGACCTTGGTCTTCTTGTTTGAAAAAAAGTTCAGTATCGTAACAAGTTTCACGCTTTGGACTCTCTTTTAATCGGAAAACTTTTGCTCAAAAAAAAATAAGTGTTCACTTAAGTAGTCTCCAACCAACTAAGAGAAAGGTAATTTTGATGAAAAATCTGGGCTTCCACCGCCATTTCTATATTTCCCTATGCCATCGCGCGTAAGTCGTTTTGGATCGGGCGCAAGCCAATTTCATATAGCCAGTGTAAATGCAACTAAACCGGAGTTTCTTTCCGGCGATAAGTATGAGAAAAAAGAGTGAAGTGCTCACTTACGTTGTCTCCAACCGAGTAATAAAAAGGTAATTTTTTAAAAACCTCTGTGCTTCAACCGCCATTTTTTTCCTTATGCCATCGCGCGTAAGTCGTTTTGGGTCGGGCGCAAGCCAACTCTCTAGATGCGACCAAACCGTCGGACTTTTTTCCGGATGAGGATGAGAAAAAAAGAGTGAAGTGCCCACTTGAGTAGTCTCCAACCAAGTGTAGGAAAAAGGTAACTTCGAAGAAAGCCAGGTGAAATTCTAGACTAGGTACACATTCGAGTGTGGTTCGAAACGTGTGTTTAGATATATGTATACAAGGTGACGCCTCAGGTTGACCTTTTCAAAGTTGGCATTTTCTCGAAAAGGGAAACACCTGCCGTCATTTTTCTGTGTGAGATGTAACTTTTCGAAACTTCCTTTCTTTTCTTGAATTTTTCATTCCTTTGGAACTAAATTATAGCTGATTCAGCCAACGAGAAAAGGGTCCTGCCACGAAAAGTGACGAGACAGTGCACTGGTTGGTGGAAAGTGCAGACAGGCCACGCCTTTTTGCGTCCTAAGCTAGCCGTGAATCGTCTATATTATTCGAATCACAGTAATGCAAACCGGACATTTCCGAGCCTTTCAAGGGATCACTTAAGAGGGCTGACTCCGCTAAAGTGGTCCCTAGAAATGCTCAGAAACGTCTGGTTTGTGTTATCGAGGTCCGAGCCGGCAAATTTACTTGGAAATATTTTAGGATCCATTTTAGGGTTTTGACGTTTTAGTGGCCACTATAGTGGTCGAATTAACCGCTTCTTAAGCGCCTAGTGTCCTCTTCAAATGTGCTGTTATTATTAGATCACTATAGTGGCCACTAAGACGAAAATAGGGGCTTCTATAAAGGGAGTTTCAGTTACCACTATAGTGTCCCTCCAAGAAGCCCTTGAGATATCCCTTAAGTGGTCCCTAAAGCTTTTCTTAGAACATTATCATTGGAGCGCAAAAGCTGTATTTCACTTTTTTACGACCTTGGTTTAATTAAGCGCCAAGCTTTGCTGTAGTGTATTATAGCCGACTGGCAAAAAAAAAAACCACAAATTATTTTTTACCCAGACGAAAATTGGTCTAGATTCTCAATGGAGCACAACATTTACTAGTCCAAGTGAGAAGGTCATAGTCTGGATTATCATTGGAGCGCAGAAGGTCATTATTTTTTCTAGTGTTTTGTGAAATTTTTAGGTGTTCGGAGGAGCACACATTCCTCATAATTCCCCATATTTTTCTCTGTTCAATTAACCTGTCCACATACTTCATCCTTATTAGTAGGCGGACAAATAATCAATAATTGCCTCTTGATGAAAATTTAGAAAAACCCCTACCAAAATCGAAAAACTGATCAAAATTATCTATGGAGCGCAAAAAACCCTCATTTTCTCGGCTATTTCTTCTCATCTCTCTCTTGAATTGCCTCTTGACCCAAAAATTGAAAATTTATCTCTGCCAAACGTGCGCGATTGTCGATAGAGCACACAAGCCTAAAACTTCTTGGCTATTTTTTCAGACTCTCCTAAAAACCTAACACAAAAATCAGCAAACCAGATCGTCAATGGAGCGCGAAATCTCACCATTCTTTCGGCTATTTCTTCTCTGTCATCTCAATCGATAATCCTTGTGCTTTCTGGTCTTGAAAAAATTGCCTCTTGACCCGAAAAAAGTTCATTTGAAACAAATTATCGATAGAGCAAACAAGCCTAAAAATTCTCGGCTATTTTTTCAGACCCTCCTAAAAATCACTAATAAAAATCAGTAAACCAGATTGTCAATGGGACGCAAAATATATATCATTATGTCGGCTATTTCTTCTCTGCCATCTCAATCGATAATCCTTGTGCTTCCTGGTCTTGAAAAAATTGCCTCTTGACCCGAAAAAAGTTCATTTGAAACAAATTGTCGATAAGGCGCACAAGCTCAAAGATTTCCTAGCTGTATTTTCATACTCTCTTGAAAATCACTATTCGCACTAAAATCATTGTCAATGGGGCGCAAAATATCTCCACTTTCTCAGCTATTTCTTCTCTGTCATCTCAATCGATAATCATTGTGCTTCCTGGACTTGAAAAAACTTTTTTTCCCAACCAACTAAATTAATAATCCTTCTTCTTCCTAGTAGTAGGCGGACACGATGAAATTGCCTCTTGACCCGAAAAAATTACAAATTAATTTCCAAGCAAGCTTGTCATAGAGAGAATTCCTTGCGTGTCAAAAAGTTGACTCCGCCCACAATTTTTCTCGTCGTTTTCTTCGTCGAATTCATTAATGTCCGCGTTTTTGAGTGTGTGTGTGTGAGTGTGGAGGCGTGCCTCGTTTTGCGTTGAAGTTGCTCTCTTTTATTTTTCAGCTGCTCGTTTTTTTTTTTTTGCTCTCGACGACGTCGAAGGAGCTATGAACTCTGTGTTCTGAGAGCTTGAAGCTGTTTCCGATTCTCAGAATTATATTAAATTTCCTCTTTTCTCCTTTGTGGGACTATTGTATTGAAGACCGCTGTACCAATAATTTTATAGGACTGGTTTTTTACCTTTCTTTTTTGTAAGACTACTGTATCGAAGTCTCCTGTAGCAATGACTTTGTAGGACTAGTTGCTTACCTCCGTTTCTTGTAGGATTACTGTATTGAGGACTACTGTAACAATAACTTTGTGGGACTAGTTTTCACCTCCTTCTTTTGTAGGACTACTGTAGTAAAGACTACTGTACCAATATTTTTGTAGAACTAGTTTTTACCACCATCTTTTGTAGGGCTACTGTATCGAAGGCTACTGTATCAATATTTTCTTAGGACTAATTTTAACCTCCGTCTTTTGCAGGACTACTGTAGTGAAGACTACTGTACCAATACTTTTGTAGGACTACTTTTTCACCTCCGTCTTTCGTAGGGCTACTGTATTGAAGAATAATAAAAATATTTTTTTGGGACTAGTTTTTTACCACCGTCTTTTGTATGCCTACTGTACTGAACTCTACTGTACCAATAACTTTGTAGGACTACTGAAACGATAATTTCCAAAACTACCGAAATTATGACAAAGTATTGCTCCCAATATAGCTGACAGAAACTCAAAGTCCTTCATTTAAACTCCTGAAATCACTGAAAAACCCTGTTCTTCGAAGTTCACAACTAAGATTAGTCGCATTTGGAATGGTAAAACCAAGCATTCCAATGCAAATGCGCGAAAACCGCTTCAAGGTCGGGCGCCATTTCGGTTTGAGCCATTCCCAGTGTGACCAGAGAATTTCACCCTAAAATCGGCTCTCTACTAAGAATTTACCCTCTTTCATCCTTTTTACAATCTTCTTGCCTTGGTTACTGTAGGACTACGGTGGTGGAAAAGATTTAAAAAATTGAAAATTGTCGCTATAATGTTCAAGAATTTTTTTTGAAAGTTATTCGCGACTACAGTAAAAAAAAACTGTGTACTGTAGAATTACTGTAGGATGTAGGATTACTGTGGGATTACTGTAGGGGGTATAAATCCAACTTCAGTTCATTTTTCCCAAAAAAAAGCCCAAATACCCACTTTCCATTCTGATACCTTTCCGTGTAAATCCTCTTTCATAGTCCATTCTTCTTCTTTTTTTTTTCTTTGAAAATCCGTGATTTTCAACATGAAATCTTTCAGATCAACTGAACCTCTCAAGCTTCAACCAAAGTCCAGAAAAAATCCAAGGAGAAAGAAAAAAAGGCCCACAACAACTGAAGGCAATGAAGACGAGGCATGCACGTGCCCTACCCCGTTTATGATTCATTTGTTAGTTTCTCTTTCTCTTTTTTTTCGATTCATTATCAAGTATTGAATACCGTGTAATTGGTGGCTCTTCAAAAGGTTGGAAAACAATTAAATGCGGGGGAAAGGTTAACCTTTTCATGCTTGAAAAAAAAAGTCATGACACTTCAAGAAAAAGGACAGTTTGAAAAAATTGCCACTTCTGAATTATTCATCTGGTGAAGTTGAAAAATGAAGGGAAACGCCTAACGGATTTTTGAAGAAACGCGACGCGACCGCGCCGCACCCAGGTCATTCTAAAAGAGACTTTATTAGAAAAATCTTAATTCTCAACCCTATTTTGTCATTTTTCAGTATTCAAAAGGAAGATGGGAACCTTAACCATAGTTTGAAAAAATCAGGGTATTCCTAAGAAACCGCGACGCAATCGCGCCGCACCTGAGCCATTCCAAAAAGAGACTAAATCCCAAAAATCATCTTACAGGTGTTAATTTTCAACCATATTTTGTCTTTTTACGATATTAAAAATGAAGATGAAAACCTAAGCTATCAATAAAAAAATAAGAGAAATTATTAAAAAAACCGCGACGCGACCGCACCGCACTCAAGCCATTCTTTCAAAAAAATTACCAAATTCTTGAAAAAAAGTTTTTCCGAAATCATATTTTTCCCTTCTACTATTACAAAAAAATGAAAAATTCGAAGTTTCGAAAAAAACACTTTCAAAAAAACCGCGACGCGACCGCGCCGCACACTAGCCATTCTTCAGAAAAAAAGGCTAAGTTTAAAAAAATTTTTTTCTTTCAAAATTTAAAATAGGTTCATTTCCAATAGCATAAAGTTACATCTTGACGATCGTGAAATTCGGTAAAAAAATCTCTGAAATTATATTTCCTGTCATAAAATAAATAATTTTGTTATTTCTGTTACTCCATTAACCGGTGGAGAAAAAACGTCATAGCGAGAAAAAAAAATTGACCAAAAGCCAAACTTTTCTCTTTTTTGAATCTTGTTTTTGAGAAACTGGAAAATTTCCGACTAAAAATATACTGAGAGAGCAAAAAGCCATGATGATATTTCAATAACCATTTTTGCATATTGAATAGAGTAGAGCAGCCAAAAATGAAAAATAAAAGGCCTGAGATTAAACATGTTAACTTTTACTGCAACTAGTGAGTGACCAAGAAATGCTTGAAAAACCAAAAAAAAATCAACCAAAATCAACGTTTTTTGACCACCTCGCTTCATTTTATAACACTCATTTTTCCTCACTTTTTTGAGGTTTTTCAACTTTTTCTTCTAAAAAATATGAGAAAAGGAAAAAACTGTACTATATTATTATCTCCAAGGAATTTGGAAAAGGCATTAATAAGTCACAGGCCTTTAACATATTTCTAATACTTCTGCAACCGGAAAACTCTCTAAAATCCTTTTTCCAGGAACTCTGCGTCCAGGAGTGCAGTTCGCTGGTATCCTACTGTACAGGACGGGAGCCGTCGGTCGTTTGTCAAATCAGTGGAACGACATTTATTCTCATCATCTTTCTGGCCATATTTACAGGTATAATCTAAATTTTTTTACGGGAGAAATTGATCAAATTTGCAAGAATTAAAAAAAATAAAAAAACATTAAAATTGAGATTTTTCTTCGTGATAAAAAGTTGAAATTTTTAAAAGAAAAAAATAATAAACTTGAGATTTTTTTAGAGAATAATCTTGATAAATTAATTTTTTTCTTAGGTTCAAAAATTCACCAAAAATGCGGAGGGTACTTAAAATTTGTGAAAAAAATACCTAAAAAAATCGAAAAATCTGATCTACTAAAAAAATCCGGAAAATAAGTATGTTATTCAAACCTGCGTAGTAAAAAAACGTCAAATTGATTTTTCAAAAAAAAAAAATTGAACTTTTTTTATCACTCAAGAGTGCGCCCGATCCGATTCGACTTTCGCGCAAATGCATAATGAGCATTTTGAGGAAAGTTCTTGGCTCTAGACGCGATTTCAACCTTCGAGCCATTCCAAATGCGACACTAGAATTTCATTCCTAGGAGATTCATGTGAAACCTGGCTCAAATACGCTTCAAAACTCACATTAAATCTCTTGAAAAATCTCAAATTATTCGATTAGCGATCGAGATTCATCAAAAATCATCAAAATGACGTCTTCTTTCGAAAATATCTTCTCTCAAGCTCCACGTCTCCAACAAAGCTCTTTGTCAAAAAAATCCAGAAAAAAGAAAATTAAGCGGAATCTTCTCCGTCAAAACAATTACCTCCATTACCACGCAAATCCCCATGTTTTTGGCCATTTTTTTTTCTCGTGGGCCGGACGGGGATATGAATAAAATATATTTCTGGCATCGTTAATGATCCTTTTTTGAAAGCCAAAAAGAAAACCGGAAGTCGGAGGCGGAAAGAAGGCCAAGAAGAATGTTTGTAGTTCATAATTAGAGGGTAAGTTCAACAAGCGCCGCTGTTTCTCAATTTACGGGATGAGTTGACGCGCAAGTCGGTTTGGGTCGGGCGCAGTTTAAAATAATCGAAAGAAAAGAAGAAGAAGTTTTGGAGCTCATACAGTACCGCTCAAAAGTATATTAAGTTTTGGTTTTTTGAGGATATCTCATCGAGTACTTATCCGATTTATATATAACTTTCAGGGATTATGTAAAATATACTTTAAAAAGATATACGGTATACACATACATGTCCGCAGTCACTGCGACGCGTTTTTTTTTCGAATTCAATTTTTTGTTTTTTTATGCTTTTTATTTTTTTATTTATTTTCTATTAAATGTTTTTAAAAAGTAATAATGTTGCCATATGTTTATTTTTCATGTTTTTCAGACATGAGAAGAACCTCTCGAAAAAAGAATTTGACTGATAACGACAAAAGAGCCATCGTTGTGGGTCGTCAAAATGAACTGACCATGATGACGTTGGCAGGAATTTTCGGCGTGACAGAGGCGGGCATTTCTCAGTTCCTGAAGCGTTGGAAAGCTCAAGATGGCACTATTAAGAGCCAACGCACTGAAAGACCACGTTTCATTGATCGTAATGGTGATAGAAACATTTTGAAGACGTCTAGAACCAATCCAAGACTCACCGTCCCTGCGATCAGACGGGAAGTTTGCTTGAATTCGCCATCTCCGCCATCCGTCTCGACCGTGAAACGACGTCTGAATGCTGCTGGAATCATGAGAAGACGTCCAGTGAAGAAACCGTTGATTTCTGAAAAGAATCGAGCCGCCTGGGGGAAGTGGGCGAAGGAGCATCTCAACTGGCCCGTCAAGACTGGAACAAGATTCTGTGGTTCGACGAAACGGTCCTTCACCATGTTTCACAAAGGGTAATTGGTATTTCGGGTGATATCTGGACCCAATTGGTCTACGAACTCACTGAATTCCGTCACTTCCGAAGAGGAGGAACTTGCTTTCGTCGGACCACAGAATCTTGTTCCAGTCTTGACGGGTCCAGTTGAGATGCTCCTTTGCCCACTTCACCCTGGCGACTCGATTCTTTTCAGAAATCAACGGTTTCTTCACTGGACGTCTTCTCATGATTCCAGCAGCATTCAGACGTCGTTTCACGGTCGAGACGGATGGCGGAGATGGCGAATTCAAGCAAACTTCCCGTCTGATCGCAGGGACGGTGAGTCTTGGATTGGTTCTAGACGTCTTCAAAATGTTTCTATTGTCATTAAGATCAGTGACACGTGATCTTCCAGTGCGTTGGCTCTTAGTATTGCCATCTTGAGCTTTCCGACGCTTTAGGAACTGAGAAATGCACGCCTCTGTCACGCCGAACATTCCTGCCAACGTCATCATGGTCAGTCCATTTTGACGACCCACAACGATGGCTCTTTTGTCGTTATCAGCCAAATTCTTTTTTTACCTGAGGTTCTTCTTATGTCTGAAAAACATGAAAATAAACATATGGCAACATTATTAATTTTTTTAAAAAAATTTAATAGAAATAAATAAAAAAATAAAAAGCATAAAAAAACAAAAAAATTGAATTCGAAAAAAATTCCTAAAACGCGTCGCAGTGACTGCGGACATGTATTTGTATACCGTATATGTTTCAAAGTATATTTTTACATAATCCCTGAAAGTTATATATAAATCGGATAAGTACTCGCTGAGATATCCTCAAAAAAACCAAAACTTAATATACTTTTGAGCGGTACTGTACCTAGAGGGCGAAATTTGGCCTGGCAATCAGAAATTCAAGTTCGCTAAGTAATCAAACACCCCATGGGCCTCAGTTCAATAACGTTTTGGTCGCATTCAGAATGGATCGCCGCGTCGCGGTCGCTCTGCGGTCCAAGTTAAGACTTCAAAGTATCATCTAAAATCGCCGCAGTTTCTCAATTTACGCCATAGGTTCACTCGCAAGTCAGTTTGGGTCGGGCGCAGATTCAAATAATCGAGAGAAAAAAGAAGATTTTTTCGGGTACATAATTAGAGGCAAAACTTGGCCTCACTATCAAAAATTCAAGTTCAACAAGCGCCTCCGTTTGAAAAAGATTTGGTCGCGTTCAGAAACAATCGCCGCGTCGTGGTTGCGCTGCGGTTCAAGTTCAAAATTCAAAAAATCCACGAAAAACGTCGCTAATTCTAAAAATGAGCCATATTTTCACGCGAAAGTCGTTTTTGGTCGGCAGCTACTTCATTATAATTCTAACAAAACCAAAAGTTATGAAAATTTCAAATTGATATTTTTCTCCATGGAGCGCAGGAAGTTTTTTTTTTCGCAGCTATTTTTTCCGTCTATTTTTCTTTGCGATTTGTATCAACCAAACTCCACAAACAACGCTTCCGATCAATATTAATATCTCCTATGCCAAAAAAAAAACCTTCATCCTATCGAATTATTGAATTAATCTTTCTGAGTTTGGTCCGAAAAACATCCTCATTTCCAGAATATGATTTGTCGAAATTCCTTTCAAGCCTCAAAAATTTATTCCAGCTTGAAAACTTTCCAAACTTCTCAAAAATCTCAAAAATAATTCAAAACTCCATCATCTGTTTTCAGTAAGGTTACACTTTTTCTAAACCTTGAGCCTAAAAAAATCAAATCCGAACGCTATTTTTCTGAGACGCCTAATTGGGGATGTTTCCTGTTTTCCTATTTTCTATTGGAAGCCAATTTGGGGAAAAGTTCCGAGAAGGCTGAAAACACGAGTATTTTTTGACCTTTTCGGGACTCTGTCTAGAAGATTTTAGGAGGTTCAGGAAATTGCAAAAAAATACAATATTAGTTATAGTCTTTCGGAGTAGATTAAAAAAACTAGAATTACCTAAAATGAAACTCAAAACAGCCTTCACTATATAAAAAGTAGTCCATGCTCCTTTAATAAGTCCACTTCGAGGATTTTTAACTGTCTAAAAACTTCTATAAGCCAGAAAAAAAGTCTCTCGTTGTTCAAAAAAATTGGATAAACAAAAACGCTGTAAACAGCTCTTCATCGCGAGACCTTCGTGAAAACAGTCCATGCAATTTAAAAAACTGGAAAATCAACCAGGACACTTTTGACCGTCCCAAAACTTCAAAAACTAAAAAAAAAGCGTCCAAATAAAGTGTCATCTACGACTTAAAACTGTAAGAAGCCATAAAATGCCTTATTTTTTTGCTTGACTCTTTAAAAAAATAAAACTAAAAAAAGGTCTTGAAAAATACCATTAGAGAAGGCTCTTCGTGTCGAAACTTTTGCAAAAAGCTCCTGCTCCTTAAAAAAAGGAATACTTTCCTTTATGATAGAAGCGAAATTTTTGAGAAAAAGAGGAATTTTTCAATTTTTCAATATTCAATTATTCATTAAAAAAACAACAGCTTGAAAAAATCGTGAGCGCTTCAAAAATTCCTCAAAACTTGGACTGACTTTTTATTCTCTATTCGTCCAAATTTTGGAAAAGGCCGGAAAAAAAAAAAGGAAAAACTAACTTCAGGGATCGCGACACCGCTGACGGTGCTGATCTGCTGGGTGCACGGCTGTTGTCGGCCGCGGGAGGGCTGCGAGAACGACGCCTCTTCTTGGAAGTCGTGGTCGAAGCGACGTCGTCGGTTCACGGGCACCGACGAGGAACAAGCCAGTCTCTATCCCTCCTCGCATCGTTCGTTTTTGATTTCTTCAAATGATCGACTTTTTTCTTTTTCGAAAAGATCCCACGATACTGAAAAAAGTCGCCCGATAGTGAAAAAGAGAGGTCCCTACAGGGTTTTGTCGTTTTAAGGACCGCTATAGGGGACAATTTTGCTTTAAGCTTTAGTGGGTTCTATAGAAGTCCCTCGACACTTTTTAAAACCCTATAGAGATCTCTTTGAGTTAAACTACTGCGAAAACGTTTTAGGACTCTCTATAGACATAGCGTAGGGGTCCCTATAGAGGTCAAAATTCTGGGGACCCCTTATGGTGGTTTCTGAGCGGTTCACTAAAATCTTAAGGCTTCAGCGCTCCTTATGGGAATACCGTTGGGGTGCCTGAGAGGGTCCCTAGAAGGCTCCCTATAAAGACCACTTCAAAATTTCTTAGAACCACGAAAAATCTCGAAAATTTCGCCGGAATGCAGAGCGTAGGCGTCCCTAATAGGGTGCCTCAGAGGGTCTCTATCAGAATCCCTATAGGGATCACTTTAAATTTTTTGGAAACCTCGAAAAATTGCTTGAAATTTTCCCCAGGAGGCAGGGTGCTTCAGAAGGTCCTTACCTGCTCCCTATAGGGACCCCTCCAAATTTCCTTAAAACCTCAAAAATTTTTCAGGAAAATCGCAGCCGGACGGCCGTCAATCTTCGACGAGTTCGATGCCCAACACGAACGACGCCGTTTCCGATGAGGACGAAGAAGTCAAAAAGCCGTCGAATGGCAGTGTCGACGGCGAGAAACGAACTCGGAAAATCACTTTCGAGCTTGACCATCGGCCTTCGATCAATAATGCCCATTCCGTGATCCGGAAAGATCCCTGAAAAAGTGCCATCTTGTGAATGTTTTTTTTTTTCAAAAGTTCTTGCTGGGGGCGTTTTTTTCGAGAAAATAATCTAATGCCCCGATTTTGGAAAGCTCGGATCAGTGGTCAGAGAAAGAAGAAGATAACTGAATTTTAAGAGAGTCAGAGATAAATTCGAATTGTTTTAAAGCGGTACGATCAAAATACGAAAAATTGGCATTTTAGAAGACGTTTATTCAATTTTCTCAATCAAAATTCCTTTTCCGCATAAAAAATTGCGATTTCAGCCTAATTGAAAATTTTGTTTATTGCAGCCAAAAAGCCATGAAACTATCTCTTCCGATTTCTTGAAGATTTTGCCAAAATTTGAAATCTTAAAACAGTCTGGGAAAATTTTTAGTGACCGCTACAGGGTTTTGAAGTTTAATGGACACTATAGTAGTCAAATTAGTGACCACTTAAGGGGTTAAAAACTAGTGGTCACTTTAGAGGTCTAAGTGCTACTACTAGACCAATAAAAATTTAAGTAGCCACTTTAGGGGTCAATGGATCAACATAACTGGGCCAATCTGTTTGTTTTATATCAGAGTTACTGGAAGAAATACTGGATGAAAAAGAACTGAAGTGGCCACTAAAACATAAAATAGTGGCCACTTTAGTGTCCTCTCCAAGTAGTCCTTGGCGAGCCTCTCTAGTGCCCACTAAAAATTTCCCACGTCATTAAAAATGGAAAAAAAAATTTAAAAACTCCTCGGAAATATCTCAGCAAGAATTTTTGGCTTGGATTTTTGTATTGTCTTGATTTTTTTTCACTGGACTGGAACAGTTTGAAGCTTTTACGACTATTTTCAATTCAAACCTGATCATTTTCAATAATTCATCTCTTCATATGAAAGCTTGGCATTGACTATCCTACAACAAGCCCCTTTGCGCGGGTATTTTTGTTCCTGACTTGAACGAAAATAATACGGCTTTCTTTCTTTTTGTTGTGAAATCTGCAATAAATTTTTTTAAAAAAATATATTTGATTCATAAGAAAAGAGGCTTACTTTGATTCGTATTTTTCTATTGTTTGTGACCTTTTTTTCCCATTTCCATATGAAATAAAACGGTTCGGACCGATTAAAACATATAAAATCCACGAGACAAAATATTTTATTTTTTGGGTAAGAATGTCGACCAAATACACAAGGAAAATGCGAAAAAAAAACAACAAGATTGTAAAATTTGTTGACAAAGTGAAGACAAATATATATGTATATGTACAAAGGGCTAAAAGTGAGATATTGGAAAAAATTAAATTTTTTTTGGTTTTAAATCATGAAAAGGGGGGAAAATGCAAAATCTTGAAGGAAAAAATAACAAGTTGAAAAAAACCCGAAATAATAAAGTTTTCTGGTCAAATGCCAATGTAGTGGAGCAATTCTGGCGGCAAAATTTTCGATAAAGCGGCTTCCGAATAGGAAATTTCAACAATCCTCGCCGAAATGTCTTTGAGTTTGATGTACTTGCCTGAAGGTTCGAAAATTGAGCAATATTCTGTAAAAACTAAGATCGAGTTTGGGATTAATAACGAACCAAAAGGCTTACAAACGTTTTCTAGAAGGAAAATTTATAAACTCGCGATTTCTTTGAAAAGTAAGGTCATTTCATTTTTCTGCTCCTTGGACATATAGAATTAAAATCTCAAAAGTCTCAACATGAATGAATTCCTAATTTTCTGGGGGAAATCTCCATTCCACAGACCTTTATAGTCCATTCTTAGAAATTCTGGTACCTATAGGGGTTAGGGGGAGAACGGAAATTCCTACAGGGGCCGAAAAATGGTCCCTATAGGGCCTGACCTCATAGCTTCTAAAGCTGTAGTGAACCCTATAGGGGCCTTTCAATTTCATTCAAAAAACACTTTTTATACAGTTTTTTTCCCATGGATATGCTTCATCGCTTCGAGTTCATAACAATTATCGACTATAATGTCCCCTAAAGGGACCACTTTTGCAAGCTTTAGTGGCCCGATAGGGGTTAATGAAGTGGACCCTCTAAGGACCCCTAAGGTTGCCTCTATAGGGACCACTCTAGAGTTTTTCGCGCGTAGCTTGTCATGTCTTTTTTTCTGCCAAAAAGACCGTATACCAAGTTAGATCAAACTTCGCTTCGAGACCTTTTTTTCTAATACAAGACGGACTTTTAGGGAACTGCTCTCCCGAAAAAAAAAAGAAAAAGAATTTTCTCCACCGCTATCTCAAGATTATATCAAATCACCCATCTCGTCAATCTTCAAAAACTTCCAACTCAAAGTAAACATTTTTATCCTTTTGATTTATAAAAAATCTTATCATGTTCCGAATCGAAAAGAAAACGAACCAACGACGATAGGCTTTTCGGCGAGTTTGTTCCCCTCTTGAAGGGCCTCAAAAACAAGCTTTTTATTTCTCATAGGTAAGAAAATTCGCGATCCAACGTCAACCAAAGCGCTCACAACTGGCCATCTAGAAAAAAAACCGTTTGAATGGGTATATATATATATAATTCATTTTTCACGGCTTGAAACAGCGGGTTAGGTGGAATAGCCACTCGTATCTTGAAATGCTCCGATTTTCACCACTTTACAACTGACTGTGGGGAAATCAGCAAAAAGGTTCATTTCTAGCAAGCGATGCGCTGGGCCGGCCAGGCTGGCCATGGTGTTGCAGCGCGGTCGCGAAGCGTTCAAAAATTTGCCACTTCTCGAACTTTCGTATCTCGAAACTTTGACAGAGTGTAAATGGGGGAGTGAATGATCGAAAATGTGTTACAAGGGAGATCATTTTATTTTGCGGTTTTGAATTTTCCATAAATTCGCTCCAATACTCTTTGAAGGTCAGAGTAGAGATGCCAGATAGTGACTATAGTCTGTGTACCACGACTTGGAATTTCCCCAAACGAAATTCCGCTGTGCCGCTGCGCACCTTTGCGAACCTTGGTCGCGCTTTTTTTTGAATATTTTTTTATCAAGGTACTCTTCTTTCATGTGCTTTCACCGCGATAACAATCAATTGAAATCGTGACCTAGATTCAAAAGACGCTTCGCGACCGCACGCAACGGAACAGCGGAATGTCGTTCCGTGAAATTTCAAGTCGTGGCACACAGACTATGCCTGCGCAAACTTCTAGTTTCAGAGATATGTATTTTCAAAGTTCGAGCGTTTATCACAGGACTTGGAAAACAAGAAATACGAGGCGTGGAAAGTTTTCCTCTGTCAGCCGGCAAGATGGTGCAGTGGGTAGAAAGCTTGCTTGCGGGGCCTATGGCCAGGGTTCGAATCCCTTTTGCAAAATGTTTCTTTCATATATACTTTTTTTCTTCATAATTTTGATGAATCTTCTGAAATTCTCATTCAAAACTAGAGAGGAGAACTTTCCTAGTCTCACTCATTACATACTGGACTAAATAGTTCAAGAAATTGCTCGTTCCGAGTTCCGGATTCAGAACTTTGCGGTTTTTTTCTTTCTGTCTTTTCGCATTCCGTTCGAAGAAAAAATGCACTTCCGTGCATCCTTGGTTGCCACACGAACTGCAGCCGGCCGTTTCAAGCCGAGAAAATTGTTAATTTTATAAAACAGCCAAACTCTTCAAGACTCTGATTGTTGATTTGCCCATTCATTTTCATGACCAACGGGGTAAAACCAAGTTCCTTTTTATGAAAATCAGCCCCAAGCGAAGCGACGAGAGAGATATAATCTACTTGCCTAGATAAGCAGTGATTATTCAGCGAAATAGTCAATTTAATGACGACTCGAAAGGCGATGTTGGAAGATTGGCGGGAACGCGTACGACGCGGTTGTTGGCGGGAAACTCTTACTCAACACTTTTTTTGAAATTTGCTGATAATTTTTTTTTTGGCTTTCAGAAGTTTAACCGAACGATTGAAAGACTTTTTTTTGATGGTGCCATGAATCAACTAAATAGCCCTTTCGCCGCGACTTGAAAATTTTCGAGTGTCTGCGTCTCTCTGTTCTCTCACCGCCGAGGTCAGAGAATGAAAATAGATCCGAAGCATAAGAGCGTCGCAGAGAAAAACAGCCGTATCTCGCGAAAAACGGAGTAGAGTGTAAAAAATTTTCTTCATCATTTTTTTTCCATAATTACGTTTGATCTCGAAAATCCGGCCAAAAGCCACGTCGCCCTTGTCAATCTGCCCTATTCGCCTTTCGAGTCAGAAGAAAGTTACGATACCAAGGAATGGTGAGAAGATAGTCCGACTGAAGGAGGGGAGCGCGCAACAGATTGCAAATGTTCACGAATCGACGGATCTGAATGGAATTTGATCTATACATTTTTCGAACACTTGAAATATTCCATGGAAGCGGTCGCGAAGCGGCCTGTTCCGAATGACCTCTCATATAGGTGGGGTGGACGCGTTGTGCTAAACCGGGTGAAGCTTCGATGAGCCTTCAGTGAACCCGATTCAGAACTGAGCGTTGAACCGCTTTTGTCGTGCCGTCCACCCGCTGGCCTCATTTGTTCCGCCGTTCAAAGGCTAACACAGTCCACCGCCCACTCGTCTCTTAGGAAGCTTGACTAACCTGGGCGGTGCCAAGGCGCCGCCTCTGAGAGCTTGAGTGGAGGAAGACACAGATCGGACCAGGATGGGTCGCTAACACGGGTCGATTCTATTGGATATCGCTATGTCATGAATTAATTAATATTAGTATTCCACTGTCCGAGTCCTCAACACCGAAAGGTACACCTACAACATCTAGAAGGGACTAAAGCCTTTCACAAGTGCTTAATCGGGTCACCTACAGGTTAATTCGACTTTCACCCGATTTAGCACAACGCGTTCACCCCACCAATACGGTAGACGAAAGGTTATTTTACTTCGACCTTTAGAAAAAAAACCCAGAAACCAATCAGAAAACTTCTCGATTTATAGTCAATTTCACACGACTTCCGAGATGTGAAGGTTGGCAAGAGTGACGCGTTGTGTACGCGACGCGGTTTCTTGACTGTGAACTCGAAGTCAAAGGGAGCATATAGCTTTACGAATTGAAGTTGAAAAAATGATTATCTCCACAACTTTTTCATGATTCCTTTTGACCCCAAAATCCCTATCGAAAAGCCGCGTCGCGAACGCAGTGCGTTACCCTTTTCAAAATTCTCATCTCGCCTATCAAGTGGACTGAGATTCTGAAAGAAATCATTCTACATGACTTGAGATCTGGGGTCTAGCTGGAAAAAAATAATGTATTTCGGAAATTGATATTTAAGGCTAACTTAAGACGCTAAGGGGTGTGGCCTGTCTGCGCTCTGCACCAACCAGACGCTATATCTCTTTTTTTTAACGTGTCAGAACCCTTTTTTTGATGCTCAAGCCAGCCGTGAATCAGCTATATAAACGGCTACTATCTGAATAGCGGAAATAAAGGCGAAAAACGCTAGCCGCTCCGCGACCGCAAAAAAAAACTTCACAATTATTAACTGACGTCAACGCCGACACGGTCCAGTTCGGCCTCACTCCAGCGTTTCCAGTGAGGTCCGTAGTATCTTAGCTTAAACCGTTTTTGTTTGAGTTTAGAAACAAATTTCTGATCGCCACCAAAAAAAAACGAAAGAAGTGAAGTATTTTCTCACATTGATAAGAAGGTCCGACGCAAAGCCAATGACTTCATCCTTTACAGAAAAGCGATCTTTATTTTTCTGCTCATCAATGTAGTACTAAATAGAAATTATTTTTTTATAATTGTAACCTGGAAACTGAAACCAGTAAAAAGAAAAAAATAAAAATTTAATATAAAACTTTTTTTCAGCTAGAAATTAAAATAAAAAAACTTCTTTTTCACACAAGCTTTGAAAGCACTTTTCAACGAAACCATTTTGAGCGTTTTTTTGAATCAAAAAAATGTCAACAGAGGATCAATAGATTAAGTTATGACCCCTATAAGGATCACTTGAGCTTGGGAGATTTAGGGATCGGACATTGAACTCCTATAGGGACCACCTTAAATTTAGCCCTCTAGGGAACACAACTTGTTCCCTAGAGGGGCTGTTATACCCCTATAAGAGCCGCTCAGACGTTGCAAAGGTATGTTTTGCAAAGAAGTGTTATTTTGCCGAGACTCTTTATCCACTCGACAACTAGTTGAGAATTAAGACTTTATGGGTGGATAGGCATAGGTGAGAGTACTCGGAATCAAAAATAAAATTCTGCTAAACCCCACAGGCGACTGAGGAAAAGCTCGTCGAAAGTTTTCCAGCGCGGATATGGCTGCGCTCGGAGCCATCGGCTAGCAACTGGCGGCGTGGTGTAGTGGGTAGTGGTCTTGTGCACTGTCAATATTGGAACCATGGTTCGAATCCTTTTGGCGGAAATCGTTTTTGCGGGCTCATAACTTCATTCCGTTCACATTTTTGCGGTATTTTTTTTCTAAAAATTCACAAAAAAAATCCACAAAAACCACAATAAACAAAATACCGATTTAAAGTTTTTTTTCCACTTTATGGGCAAACGATGAAGAATTTTTGAAATAAATCTCATAAAAATGTGAAAGGAATAAAGTTATGAGCCGGTAAAAACGATTTCCGCCAGAAGGACTCGAACCATGATCCCAATATTGACAGAGCACAAGACCACTACCACTACACCACGCCGCCCGTTGCAAGCCGAAGGCTCCGAGCGCGGGCATAACCGCGCTGGAAAACTTTCGACGAGCTTTTCCTCGGCTGTCTGTGGGGTTTTAGCAAAATTTTATTCTTGATTCCGAGTACTCTCACCTATGCCTATCCACCCATAAAGTCTAAATTCTCAACTTGTTGTCGAGTGGAGACCATGCCCTAATTGGGTATAGGTCATTCCGCGCCAGCTTGTCACGATTTTAATTTTCCTCGAAGCTACAGAACCCCTTTCGGCGCTTCGCTTCAATGCTCTCGGTGTTCCCCCTTGCGTGCGCCTTTAATAAAATATTATTTCTGATTAAGATATTGCTTCAATTTCCTCTCACTCTTCTATTAATTTACGAGGTTGTTTTCGATGGATTGATTTCATTTTTCGCTTGGACTATACACACTCAGATTCTGTGCTGGATTTGTAAGAAAAAAAAGAAAATCAAAAAGATTGAATTACTACTTTTTAATTGTTATTAATGAAACCGGCTGTTCGAGCTTTTCTTGCATATAGTTTTTGGGTTAATGTGATATAAAATTTGATGTTACAACTGTTTTTTTGTAGAATAGGAAAATTCCAAAGTTCCAAAATAATGAGTTTTATTAAAGGCGCACGCAAGGGGCACACCGAGAGCATCGAAGCGAAGCGCCGAAAAGGCTTCTCTAGCTCCAAATAAACTGGAAATCGTGACAAGCTGGCGCGGAATGACCTATACGCCAACGTGGTTTCTATATGGACAACCATAGGGGCCCTTGAAGGTTTCGTCCAAAAGACCAATTTCCCTTCCCGAAACCTCGGCAAGAGAAAACTACTTTGGTTTTCGACCTAAATTTTCAATCACGAAAATGTTATAACATCAAACAATTTTCGATCAACTACTGCAACATTCTCAAGCTCGTTAAACATTTTTTTTTTCCAATTTAACAGAAAAGAATAATTCAAATAAACCTTTTCCAATTCCTTGCAGCCGATATTGAAAAAGAAGGCAGCTTCTTTTAGGATTTCGCAATGATATTTTTGTTCCCTTGGGACATGCTCCTCAAAAGACAGCACACAGGCAACAAAAATTCTGAAAACAGTGTTAAACTCTCTCGTCATGGGTTCGTCATATCTGTAAGACAGAAATAGGTAAATCGCCTCGAAAAGCTCTGAACCCACTTGTGATAAAGATGAAGCAAATAACATCGAAGCGAGATATCTCTGAAATCAACAGGAAAACTTCAAAAGTTCGCTGATAGGCATGGAATTTCCCTTTTTTTTCAAACGACTGTCCTCAAAACTTCCCTCGATGCCTGTGAAAAAGTTAGGGGCTCTCAAAAGTCGAAAATTTTTGCCACTTGTTTTTTATTTTTCTCTGGCGATTTTTTCGGTATTTTGTTTATCATGTCTTTGAGAACATCGACACCAATGATGGGTGGTATGAAAAAAACACCAGCGAAAATTCAAACGGCGACTTTTCCGATTTTTTCATATCGCTAGGGAACTTTCCGACGAATCTTTTTCCGACTTTTTTTCTCGATAAACTCTTCGTTTTAAATCTTCCTATATAAATTAGGTGGTTGGTTCATGATTAAAACACAAAAAAATGGGGGAAAAAAAAAATGTTTATAGATGTTTTAAAAACTGAAAACTATAAGGGAAAAAAAGTCGGAAAAAAAGTTTCGTCGGAAAGGTGGCCGTCGGAAAGTTCCTTAGCGATACGAAAAAATCGGAAAAGTCGCCGTTTGAATTTTCGCTGGTCTTTTTTTCATACCACCCAATGATGAGCGGAAGACGTTTTTTTTTTTTTGCGCCTATCGGCGAAAACGGAAACGAAACCCGAAATGTGGGCGAAAGACGGAAGCGGAAATTCCGCCCTTGAAATTTTGTCGTACTATCCATTCAAAGATTTTTTATAAAATTGATTTGAATCTCAAGTTGATCAATTTTTTACTTGCATAACTTGAGATTTAAATCAATTTATGCGCTTCTGGATTATGTCACGTGCGTACAAAACACAGAAACGCACGGAGCTTCGTTTCAACACCACTAAGAATAACTGCCGAGACAAACGCAAGGTCGGTGTCGGTACATTGATAAACTCGCAAACAAGTCGCTTTTTTCTAGGCGCAATCTCGCATTTTTCTCGCCGCGACCTTGCCTTTACCTTGCATTTTAGAATCAAATAGCCAGTAAAATGCGAAATGTTTGCGAGTTCTTTTAAGAACTCGCAAACATCTCGCATTTTATCGCACAGTTAAAACTGTACCGCCAGCGTCTCGCGTTTATCTCGGCAGTTATTCTTAGTGATTCAGAGAAAAAAAAAGACTATACATAACAATGGCGATACTTTAATTCAGTCGGCATTAATGATATAGGAATGAAGAAAATTCCGTCAGGTGGCGGAAACGGAAAAGATAATTTTCCGTCTTCTAGCGGAAACGGAAAAAATTTTTTTTTCGGAAACGGAAATCCCGCTCATCATTGATCGACAAGTCGTTATAAATTATTTCTTTAGAAATTATTCCAACAAAATGCTAACCGCTGGTTCATTGGCTTATCAGTGGGGAAACATGAGTGAACTTCCAAATATTCATAGATCGCACGACGAACATCTGGGTGGGGTCGGCCGAGAATCCTCTCACGGATTATGAAGCACTAAAACATTTTCAGAAAGGGCAAAATTTGGGAAATTTTTCTGAAATTTTATTTTCTTCGCGACTTCTTCCGTTTACTAAGTTTCTTTCTTTTTTTTCGGTTAAAAGTTTCTTGGCTTATAAGTTTCAAAATTTGGGACGTTTTGAACGTAAAACCAGCCTAAAAATCCTTTTTCTTGAAAAGTTTTGGTCAGTTATCAATGACAATGACATGATCGCTGAACATTTAGACGCATTTCTCATGAACGGCTTTGAGAATGATTTTGATTTTTTGTGGTCAGTTAGTACAGACATGGCTTTCATCAGTTACTTCTTCTCTAGAAGATCTAAACGCTTAAAGCCGTCCGAAAGCCTTCAGAAGTTCATCAAACTGTTTTTTCAGTTAATTTTGGACGTTTCTAAAAAATTGAGGGCCGGACAAACTCTGTTGAACCACTTCTGCTTTGACGCATGACTGCAGTCTTTCTGTTGTAGAAATAAAATTAACATCAATCTGAACTTCAGGTTGTGTGCTAGTAAACACTATATACAGCAAAATTGTAAAGGGTTGAAATTTTTTTTTTCAAAGAGTGTCCTTCCAAAAAAAAAAAAAACTTAGTAAACAAACTGAAATATATTTGAAAAGTATTTTTCTAATCTGTTCAAATTTTTAATGTCATGTCCAATGACATCATTCGTAAACGCTCTGTAGATGGTTCGCTCTCTGTTTGGCTCAGGGGCGGCACAGCTTTACAGGGAGTGTGCACGGTGCGAGCACTGATTTCGCACTTTTTCACTGCACGGTGCATGTTGTCGTTTTGCACCTCGCAGTTTTGGGTCTTTTTCAGTGCGCATGAGGTGCAACACCGCACGGTGCTGACACTCCGAATCAGAAATTCGGGTATTCGAAATCCTGTCAATTCAGTCCATTTCTCTCAGTTCTACATGTTATTTATATTTTTTTTTCGTTTTAGGGATGGTTTTTTTCGTTAGAAAAGTCGGATGATGGAGAAAGAAAAGGCCTAAATTGAGTAGCAAAGCATGTTTAGTTTTGTGGTTCAGAGTGTCAGCACCGTGCGGTGTTGCACCTCATGCGCACTGAAAAAGACCCAAAATTGCGAGGTGCAAAACGACAACATGCACCGTGCAGTGAAAAAGTGCAAAATCAGTGCTCGCACCGTGCACGCTTCTTGTAGAGAGTGTTTCAAAACAGGCGAGCGCAGGCGAAAACAATGGTCGCCTCAATGGGGCGAAAACGCGAGTTCCTTCTAACGCCACGCGGTGCGGCGCGTGTCAATCTCTCAAAATTTCATTCAATTTAAATATAGTTTTTTCTCTTTTTCTCACGTATTTTTTCAGATTTTGAATAGATTCACTTTCTGTTGTGTAATATAACCGTGTTGGATGCGTTTGAGAGGTACTTGAGTTAATTTTTGATCGAGATGGTCCCGAACTTTCCATGTTTTTGTTTTAAAATGCTCAGAATGAGTTTCTTAAGAAAACCGCCCAGAGCTCAAAATTTTTTTTCGACGTTTTTACAAAAACATATGTTGTCTAAAAATGACTTTTTTTGAGTTATAAATTTTTTGTGCCGAAGCCAATTTATTCTTTTTTTCGTTTCAGAATATTCAGAATGCGTTTTTTGAAGAAACCGTCATGGGTTTTTTCCTTTAAAAAATTTTTTAGGACTTCACGCGACGGATGGTCTTGAAAAAAGGCATTTCGTGTGATAAATCTTTTGGAAAAAGCGATTCCGTTCATATTCCATTTTCAATAAGTTCATTGTGAGTTGGACTATATTAAAATTACTATAAAAGTTTGAGGAGGCCTTGAAAAAAACTATTCAACGCTATGTTTTCATCCAGTAAATGCACAAAGATCGGCTCTCAATGTCGCGCCACTATTGCAATAAGCCGCGCCCCCATTGCATACGGCCACGCCCAATGACCACATCTGCCGCCTGTTTGGGAACACTGTGGGCGGAGCTTGAGCGTTGGATTGACCTTCAAAATCTGAACAGACTAAATGAAGGCCGACCTGACCTCTGAAGACTGAATGAATTGAATTGACCTTTGGAAATGGATAGAGCTCCATAATATTTCGTAACCGAGAATTTTGGGAAATCTTTCTTTTTTCAATTTCTAACGAGAAATCAATTACTTGCATGACGGTGAATCGCTTAAAGTTGGCCGCATTTTCAAACTCGCTGTAGGTTTTGGCTTCTCTCAATGAATCGTAGGCTGGATTCGGATCACTGAGGTCTTCTTTCTGCGAAAAAAAAGATTTGACGTTTTCTGATGAAAAAAATCAATCTTGAGTATTAAAGAAATGAGAGAAAAAAACCGTGAATTTAAATCTCAGAGGAAAAATGGATCTTGACATTCTTTCGATTTTATTTTTTAAAGCGGGGACGCCGCGGGTGTCTCTTCTCGAACAGCCTAATACATTATGCCTTTTTACATTTGTACGAGTATTTTTTAACGCATAATATTCAACCATACCCATTTTTCATTTGGAAATGGTTCTTCCTAAACTTGCAAAAAAGTGCTTGAAACAGGTTTAAAAATTGGTTATAATGATGAGTATTATGAAGATAAAATAAGTAGAAAAAGGTTTTCCACGCCATGAAGCAAAATAAAAAAAAATAATATAGGAGCGTCACGCAACAGTACTCGGTCATCATCGGTGCATCCAAACCGCTTCAACTCTAATTTTTTCACTTTTTTTCAGATACTCGAAAACCTACCGGTTCTCCTTCGACTTCCATTTCAAATGCTTCTTTCCATCGTTTTACACTGTCTTCAGTGAAATACTGCAATAAGGCGGCAGAAGTTTCCAACAATTGTTCGTCGCGCTTCGTTAGAGGGCCTCTTGTTCCATCATTATTCCTTTCTTTCGACAGGTAATCCACGATATCCATCTTCAAAAATGCAAATTCGACTCATTCACAGCTAACTTGGGACGCAAAAAGGCGTAATCGACCAGGCGCCGTCTCTTAATTTTTTGATTGTATCAGGACCCTTTTTCCGATTTTTTAAGGCAGCCGTGAATCAGCTACAGTGCGGCGAAAAATGGCAAAAGGGACAGCAAGAAACAAAGGTCTCGAAGCGAATTACGCCCAGCTTTGTAAGCGGTCTTTTTAGCAGAAAAAAAAAACCACGACAACTTATCGTGGAACGGACTATATATTGCACGGAAAAAAGAATATTTGAAAGGAAAATCTGTTCTCAATATGTATTTGGCGTTGAATTTCGCGCAAAATGAAAACCGTTCAACTTGCATGAATTATTTATTTTTCTTTCTCATTCATTCAATTTTTTTAGATCTTTTATATTCAAAAAGTTGCGCAAATTGAAAAGCTAAAAGAAATATTGAAACCGTTTTTTTTTGATAATTGAGACTGAAACTTTCCATATAAAAACTATTGCCAAGCAACATTCTCTATTTATAACTTTTCTTGTTCTTCAAAGAAAATAGAATGGGAAAAGGACCATGAAAAATGAGAACTTCAAAATTATAGTTCGTTCAGATTTTTACAAGAGTTCAGAACAGGTTATAACACACCATGAAAGAAAAGTTATTCAAAAATGCAAAAGAAACTCAACTGTCACACCAATATTTCTCCTAAAGATATAACTTGAAAACTTCGAAAAAAAAAAACTTTCAATTCAATCCATTTATTTTTGTGCGTGCGCCGTGGGACTTCCACACGTGCGCAAACCAACTTTTTTCTTTTAAAACTAGTCGACTCCGCAATAAAACGTACATCATATGCGTAATTTGCAAACGTAAACAATAGACAATAGATCTCAAATGGGGCTTCTAAGGCATCGTACACGTAATACAAGACCGAGAAACAAAAAAAGAGAAGTACAAAAGAAGGAAACACGAACAATAACTAAAAGAAAAAGGAACGAGGGGTAAAAAAAAATCGCTTAGCGAATAAAACGGCAGAAAAAACAACTTTTTAAGTTTGAAGGGAGATGCAAATGGGGGAACCGTTCCGCTATCAATGCAAGTTTTTTAGTACTTGGGGCAATTTTTAGGGTTCCGAAGAACGAACGGAAACAAATAGAGATGGAAATAAACCTACGAAAAAAATGATGATAAAGAGAAGCACATAGCACAAGAATATCGACACGTTGAGTTTTTTTCTTTTCGACAATCATCGGGAGAGGGGCAGGTAAAACAGCACAGGGACCAGACACGTTAATGGTATATGGTAAGTTTACAAAAAGAAAGAAGAAGTCGACAATATATAATCTTAATGCGGTTAATTGTGCTCACAGGCAGGTTTGGTTAATGATTCCGCCCAAAAGGAACAAAAAAATGTTTCGGGCCGGAGGCCAGACACTGTATCAGATAGAAATAACACTACATATATAGAAGAAACAAATAACTGGATTGTACAACAAGATCAGAAACGGGATTGATTCAACCAATACAAGATACGCACACGAATCAAACAACAGTTAATGAGAGGAGAGAAAGGATTTTCTTTCTTAATGATGATGGTGATGGTCGAGGTCCGTGCTCGTGCTCGAGTCCGAGATCGGAGCGTGGAACGACGTCGACCCTTCGTACAGACTCGCCAGAAGATCCGGGCTCCGGTTGGGGGTCCAGGCGTGCTCGTCGTCTGAAAAAAAAGTAAGTTTTTTCGGAAATCAGCTTCGATTCTAACAAGGGAATTTTTTTTAGATCTCATTTTCCGTATTTTGAAGAGTTCGAAGCTTCATAGAGACGTAAAATTTGGGGTCTAGTAAGAAAAGTCGAACTCCATACAAAAAATAAAGCTGCTATAGCTGATTCACGGCTAACTTGGGATTCTAAGGGGGCGTGTCCTGTCTATGCTCTCCACGAGCCACGCGCTATTTCGTGCATTATCGTTTCAAGACACTTTTTCGTTGGGTCAAGCCAGCCGTGAATCAAATTCCAATTTTTATCGTCATAAAGCTAACTTCGCGCCGGGATCTACTGTATCTTTCGCATCGATGTTCCTTTAATAACGTTAAATTTTCCGACCTTTTTCAGCCCAAAAGCTAAATGAAAAATCATTGTTTCAAGCGCTATTAAAGGCACATAGTCGCGCGAGATAAAGTATCGAGACGAAAAGGTGTACTTTCTGGCGATGCCACAAAGATCGACTTTTTAAAAATTGAACTGGAAAAGACGTTCCGATATTGCTACCTCGGACATTGGTAACGCGAAACGGACGTGCTCCGGACCTGGGCAATTCTAATTCTAGGGATCACTTTAGGACTGAGGCTACTAAAGTAGTCACTAGAAATGCCCCGACAGGTCCGATCCGCGTCCCGTTTGCGTTACTAAGGTCCGAGACGTTATTAGTAACTTTTGGATTGTACGACACTTTGTCAAAATTCGATTAGGTTCATTCAAAAATTCTATATTTTCGCTTTAACCGTTTCAGTTCTTACAAATTCTTCTTTGATACCAAAAAAGACCTTTTCAATTCGATCAGGCCCTAATTTCCTCACTCAGCAATAAGTATTCATATTAAAAATTCAAAGCTTTTCTCTACATTTCTTTCCCCATAAAACCCACCAGAAGTGACTTCGCTCTCCGAAGTTCGCGTGCCGGCAGAGCTAGCCCGCGGCAGCGTTCCGAAACTTTTTGGCGATGTCGTCGTGTCGAGAAGCGACGCGATTTGCTCGTGGATGTGGATTTGGTTCGGGAACACCGTGATACCGTCCTTTGAGATCATCTGCACTTGCTGCTGAAAAAAAATATTTTTTTCAGGTCTAAAAAAATCAAAATTGATTACTTCAAACCGAAAAAAAACCCCCTAGCTCACGCGCAAAAAAAATTGTAGAACAGGTTTTTTTGAAATTTATCCAGTCTTTCAGATTTATAGAGTTAGAGAGTGTCTGGATGATGGAGAGTGCAGACAGGCCACGCCTCTAAGCCTCCAAAGATGACTGTGAATCTACTTACATTTCAATTTCACAACTATTAACCCGCGAATTAAAAGGGACATCGCAGACGATATCGCGAAAGTGCTTTGTAGCTGCGCCGATATCGCATTTTCCTCGGCGCGATATCGCATCAAATTTTCCGTTTTTCAGTGCATAATAAAGTCCGGCGCTTCATTCGCGATGTCGTCCATGTGCCGCCGACGATATCGCTTTTGTCTCGCGCCTTGCTAGGCAGTTATCTTAAGTGTTTTATAATCCATTCCGCGACTTTTCTCGGAACTTTTCCTGACGATGCGCCTTTAATTAGGCCCTAACCTTCGGTTATATTAAAGGCGCATGCAGAGATACAGGTCGCGCGCATCGAAGAGAGCCCGGAGGAAGATAAAAACTGTGAAAAGCTCCCACGGAATGGGCTATAACAATCACACTTTTGGTTGACAAATCAATGAATTTTTCTAATTTTTGATACCTTGCGAGTGGTGCACGAGTCGTCGTTGACGCACATCAGAATGCTGTGATCCGTCGTCGGTTCGCCGCTGCTCAGGAAGTATTCCCCGTTGGCCGAGAGCTTCATCTGGCTGTGTCTGGTGCAACGGCGGGGTCTTGGGGCCTCGCCGATCGCGCCGTACGGATTGTTCGCCGCCATCTCTTCGGCCATCGCCGCCTCGTCTGTAAAATATGAGTTTAAGATAATGAAGAAGCTCTAAATATCTTTGAATTCGAAAAGGGAGGCTGAAGCTTATTTTTCCTTAAAACTTTTTGAAAATTCAAAAATTCAGCTTTTCGGACCTTGGTAATGCAAACCAAACGTGCCCCGGATGTTTCTGAGCACCTCAAGGAACTACTCAAGGGTACTGAAGCCGCTAATATGGAAACTAGAAATTCTGTGAAATGTCTTGGATTGAAGTAAAGGAAACCGGGCGCTTCTTAGCAGCCTTAGGGATCACTAAAGAGTCCTAAAGCCGCTAAAGTGACCACTAGAAATTTTGTGAAGTGTCTTGGATCAAAGTAACGGAAATCGGACGCGCCCTAGGCGTTCCTATGCCTTTCAAGGGACCACTTAAGGGTGCTAACACAGTAAGAATGTTGAGAAGTGTCTCGGACCTTAGTAGCGCAAACTGGACGCTTCTAAGCAGCTCTAGGGATCACTTAAGAGTGCTGAAGCCACTAAAGGGGCCACTAAAATGCTCATAACTTCCCAGGGCGTGTCCGGTATGTTTCCTGCAGACTTCTAAACCTTCCCTTGAAAATAGAATTGCTGAAACCTCTTGAGTGATCACTTAACGACTCAAGGTCCCAACTTTAAATAAAAAAATTGACAATGCCTATTTTTGGAATTCGAAGAAGCTAAATTCTGAATAAACGGAAAAAAATATTTTTTTAAAGATTGCTCGAAAAATGTTAGTTCTGGAGGGTCTTCTAAAGGCAAACTTTGCTGTTTTCCAATGACTTTATCGAAATGCGAGCCTTCAGTAACCAAACCTACGTTTCTTCAATTCTTAAAAGTCTTTTTGGAAATTTTCCATCATCCTAAAAAATCCAGAAACTCACGGAATTCCCACTCCTGCGGAGTCATGTGTTGGAGGTCGAAACGGGAGGACGACATTCTACTCGACAGGAAATTCCGGCCGTCGAGATTCTCGACACGCCACGTTGAGTGTGGAGCCCGCAGGTCGACGCACAGTTTCGGTGGGGGGACCACTTCAGTGGCCGAGTTCGGCAGCACCTTCCTGCGAGTGGGCGTCGCTCGGCGGACCTGGAAAAATTGACATCTTTTTTTCGTTTTTTTTTTTGAAATTTTAAGTGTTCTGAAGCTTGGTAACTCTCTATTTTCAACTTTTTTCAAATTTTACTGAAAAATTATCGATTTTTAGATTCACTAAAGTGTCCTTGAAGGTGATCCTAAAATATCTGATTTAATTTGAATGCGAAAAAAAAAACTCTGAAAATCCTAGATTTTTCACGTCAAAAAGACTTAACCCAAGCCCTTGAAAAGAACAAATTATTATTTCCTCTCTATTATCTCCTTCAAAAAAATTTTTATAAGAAAGTACTTCCGCGAAAAAATCATCTTATCGAAGATATGAAAAGAAAAAAAAAGCTAAAAATAGTTATTTTTCCAGCATAATATGCATTTCGGATGGATCAATTAAAAAATTGGATGATGAAAATTCAAATAAGGACTGAGAAATTGCTAAAAAAATTTCCGCTGATCACTTTCAAACAGAAAAATCACTATAAAAAGTCTAGTCTGTTCAATTTTTGAAGAGGGGCGGAGCTTGAACGATGACTTGAAATTTAAAATATGAGCAGATTTTATTGATCTTACTATTTCACTAAACAAATTGGAAAAAATATACGTTTTTTTTAGTATTTGATGGATTCTTGGGCAAAATCGGAATTTTGGATAATGGCCGCATAAAATGAGAGACTCAAAAAAAGCAGCAAAAATAATCCCTTCCATTTTTTCTGGGATTTCAAAAGCTCCAGAAATAGTGAAGAAAAGGAGAGGCAGCAAAAATGGTGCATAAACGCCGAGGAAATGGTGCAAAAAGGCAGCAAAAAAGGAGCCTTTTTCACCCTAAAAATAAAATTTCTATTGAGTCTTTTTCCATCCTTTTCCGACTTTTTGGATGTTTACGGCCAATTTCCCTCAAAAACTATCATTTTCACGTTTTTCAACCTCGATAATTCTTCCTTGGACATGGGATTCGTGTAACGCAGCACGCGCACTTTCGCACGCGTGAACGCTGTCCAAAGTTACAAATCCGAATCCTTTCGATCCACGGTCGTTCGTCACTATTTCCACACTCAAAACTCTTCCATACCTGAAAAAAATAATTGATCAACAAAAAAAAAGTAATAATCTTCCTACGGGTAGAACATTGCGGCGAGGTCTTGTTCCCTGAACGAAAACGGAATGTTGCTAACGTATATTCTGGAAAAAGAGCTTTCAAAAAGAAGAAGAAATAAGTTGAAAACCTGTTATCCGTAAAAGTTGTTGGCTCGCGAGTTTTCGGTTTGACAGAAATCGGCATCGTGTACACGGGCTCGCGCGGATGATATTGGTCTCTTTGAAAAAAAATATTACTCGATAATCAATTGTCAATTATTAAACGTTGTTTGGAAAAATTCTAAGCTCTGAAAAACTGAAACGTTTACAATACGAATGAGTCAAAATTATGGGTTTCCTTTAAATTAATGGCGTGTTCATCGGACAAAATGAAAATTGTCCCGAAACGCAAAAAAATTGCTTCAAAACAAAAATTAGTACTGTTTTGGAGCAATTTTGGCGCGCCAATGAACACGATTTTTCGTTTTGAAGTATGATCCGTTTCTCCAATGAAGAAGCCATAATGAAAAATGAAAAAGATCGAGGTATTGATTTTTTTCACAGTAAGTTTTTCAATTGCAAGAGAATATGAATTTTTTCGAAGCTTCAAAAACAGTTGTGGAAAAAGTAAGAATATTTTTTTAATTGAAACTAAATTCATTCAGAAAAGTCATTTTTCGACAAAATAAACTTTTTTTCATCGATCAAAATTTAAAAAAAAGCTAAACTTTATCCGATTCAGCTTCAGAAAAATTTACTACAGATTTCAAAGGCGCAAAAATTTTCTATGAAAAAATGTAACCCTAAATACGAACTTTCCTGTCAAAGTTGTTTTTCAAAATTGTCACTGATTCTTTAAAGTATACAGCGGGATACGGAGACCTATCACACGATGAGGTAAAAATAGACACCTTTCATGTCTCATTGGCAGCTTGGCTGCATCATCGGCGGTCAGCCCAAAATATGAGTACCACACGTTCATTCGGTTCTTATTCGTTGTGCTTGGCACCATTTGCACTGGCGCTCCGGCGTGCATCTCTTCAAAATAATTAATTCGATAACAAAAAAGGCAAGAAACGTACGAAAAAAACGCATCACAAAAAAATTTTTAAAAAAACTAATATTTATTAGAAGAAGAATAAAAAAAGTTTAATGTTGAATAAAAAAAGTTGAAAGCTCAAAAAAAGATATAAAAAAACAAATTACAAAAAAAGCTGACGTGGCGTGAAAGGTCGTCGAAGGGCGCCACGTTGCAAATTTCGAAAATCAACGATTTTTTTCAATTAAATTTTTGAAATTTATTTTTTTATAATAGAATTTGCTTATATATTCAAACCCGGAAAATTATTTGAAAAAAACTCGAATCACAAGAACCTTTATTGCTTCCAAATATTAAAATAAAAGGAAAAAAACTATGAAAAAAATCACAATATTCTAATTTTTCTCAAAGTGCAAACACTATGGTGATTTTTTTAAGCCTTAATAAATTTTTTACAACTATTTATTAAACTATATAAATTCGAAATAATAACATAATAACGAAAAATAAAAGGGGAATGAAAAAATGAGACGAAAAAAGCGGTGCCGCCTGGATTTAGCTTTCGCGCTAATTTTCAGTTTGAAATTTTGGCGGCAGATCAAAATTCGCGGTCAAAGAACAGCTCTCGCCAGACTTGCGTTTCTTTCATTTTTTTTTTGTTAGTCAATCCCTCGATTCAAAATCTTTGCGTGTAATCTTTGAGTCCGTTCCGGTAATTCTATACACTACCTTGTACGACCTTGATTGTTGCGAATTTTTTTTTCGGTTCGAGGCGTTAAACAGTTGCTTTTTTTTTTGGTTGTTTGAGTAGTTCAAGGTTAGCAAATATTTAACCACAATTTATGTAGTTCCGTTCGTTTTTGATTTTGCAACCGTCAATGGAACTCGGTAGACAACTTTTGAAAATAATGTTTCTTTAAGAGACTTCGAAACCGTTGGAAACAAAAAATCATGAAGGTAAGGAAAGTTTAATTTTCTTTCTTTCTAAAATCTTGTTCAGATTTTTAGGGCTTTTGCATTTTTTTAAAAGTATCATCTAGAAGGGCCTTTTTCAGCATTATTTTTGGGTCATGTAAGGCTTTGGAAATCATTATTTCTGAGCTCTTCAACTGCGTCTATGAAAAAAAGAACCGCATGAGCCTTTTTAGATGATTTTTTTCATCAGAAAGGTTTTTCAATATTTTATCCAAGAAGAACCCCATTCTTCCTCAATTCTGTAAACTTGAAACCCTTCAAGGAGCAGTAAATTAAATCAGATGCCGGACAAGTGAGTCAAGGACGATTTTTGAGTCGATGTTTCAGTTTGGTAGTTGACCGTCGAGCGCCCAAGGCCATCACGCATAGTTACTGGGAGGAAAAAAAAAAGCGAATCTCGCCATTTTAATTCGCCTAGATAATTTTCGCGTTGTTCCCTTTTTCACGAACCTGCGAAAGTGTTCGAACAGAGAGAAGAGGACTTTGTATTTTGATACTCGTATGAAGTTTTGGAAACCGGTTGAATATTTCTGGAAAGTGAAAGCTAAGAAAAATTAAACAATAAAAAAATGGAGGTATGAGATGAAATATAGCGATTTTTTTCGAACGGCGGCTTTTTCCTATTTTTTTCATATCGCTAGGGAAGGAACTTTCCGGCTTTATTTTTTTCTCGATTTATTTTTTTCTCGATTTTTTTCTCGATAACTCTTTGTTTTTGAATCTTCCTATATGGAATAGGTAGTTGATTCATGATTAAAACACAAGAAAAAGTAAAATAATGTTAATAGATCTTTTATAAACCGAAAAATATAGGCATATGAGCTTTAAGAAGCTGAAATTTTAATCTTCACCCCATCATAACCTCTTTTAAATATTTTTAAGAGCGTCGCAATTTTCGAAGTAATAATTGGAACAGCGATGTATTTAAAGGTGCTGAAATTTAGAATTTTATCACCGATACCTTTTTTTAAATGTATTTTAATCGTTGAGTATGGATTCTCCTATCGATTTGAAAGTTTGTAAACGTCTTTTTGAATTTTCATTGAAACATATGTAATGTAGGACGTGGGAAAAGTGAAACTATTATAATTTATTTATTTTTTTCTAAATTTCGTGTTTGAAATCATTCCGCGAAATCCAAAATAGTCGTCAGAGAGTGGAAAAAGATAAATAAATTTTTGGAGGGTCAGAGATAATTTTGAATTTCGCAAAAATTACTTTGAACAAGGAGTTTAAAAAAATCCTGGAATTAGAAACAGATAATACTAATTTTTTTCCTCAAAGCTTCAATCCCTCTAGCTTCACCTTGCATTTCGAAGCTTCCTTCCCATTTTCCCACGCGCCTGGCACCGGCCGAGCCTGGCCAAAGAAGAAAAAGAGGAAAAAAAACTGTTTATTTGCTCAATCGCACAGCGTTTTTTTTTGAGAGGAGAAAACCAAGGAAGAACCAGCCGACCGGCCACCTGGAAATGGCTAAATTTAGCGGTGAATCATGGAAAAAATGACTTGACTTGTTGTTGTTGGCGAATGGCATGACAGTGACTGTCACTGGATGTTTGCCGGTTTTTTTTCCGGATTTCTTGGATAGTTTTGGACAGTTTTGATGAATTTCACTAAATTTTTTTGCATTTTTTTCAAAGTTTAAAAAAATATGTCAGAAGCATTTTTTTCTATAACCCCCATTGGAGACTTGAATTTTTTTAGTTTGTCACTAATTGATGTTCACTTTTTACACAATAACTTACTTAGGGACTTTCAGGGCCCATAAAGAACCTTCAGGGCCCCTGAAGGCTCCCTCTAGGGACCACTTTGGCTCCCCCCTTAAAGTTTAGGGGAGCCCTTTAGGGGTTTTTGTTAGTGGCCCCTATAGGGCAACATGAGCATTTTTATGTAAAAAACTCCATAAATTAAATTTTTATGAATGAGAAATATCAGCAGAAAGCTCGTCCTTTCTATCAAAAAAAAAATTAAACTAAATTAGCCCTACAGGGACCACTTAAGCTTCAGAGGCGTAGGGATCGAATCCTAAAACCCTATAGGGATTACTTCAATTTTAAGGGGCAATTTTTTCCCCTAACCTCTATAGGGACCACTTGAAATTTGTTCTTATAGAAATCACTATTCTGTGTCCTACAGGGGCACTTTTTCCTTTACCCCTATAGGGGCCACTATGACGTTTCCCCCCCCCCCATCTTATTCCTAAACAGGGGGAAAAGAAAAAGAAAGCCAAATATGGTGTTGAAACTGGGGTAGAAGTGTCAGTTGGTAACAATCGACAATGCGGCCGAAATCCTCAAGTATTTACTCAGGTTTTTTTTTCCTTCTCGGACGGTAGAAAATTAGGGAAATAGTATAGGATTTTGAGAGAGGCTGAGAAGCCGCTACCTATGCGATTGCGAGGAGAAGACAAAAAATGGGTCAATTTTTCGGTCGGAACGCTCGTTTTTTTTTTGTCTCTCTCCCTCTTTCCGATCCTGTTCTACTCGTAACAGTTGATTTAAACGTAGTGAAGTTGGTTCATGGAAATCAGAGCGTTTCGAGGAGGAAAATGGGAGAAAATGGAGCCGCGACGCGACCGCAGCACGTATGGGTATGAAATTTTCGACAAAAAAAAAACAGTTTTGCTGAAAATTAGATTGAAAATTTTGTACAGTTCCGAAAAATTCAAGAAAAAATTCCGAAATTCATTTTAAGCCAAGGTCGCGGCGCGACCGCAGCGCCTTTGAATTTTTAAGCAAAGTTTAAAAAAATCAAAGTTAGGGTCAGGAACTTTTTTTAAAAGAATGATTACGCGGCAAAAAAATAAATATTTCCAAAGAAAATCTTCTGCAAATTTGAAGAGAAAAGTCCAAAATTTTTATTTCTAAGGCCGCGACGCGACCGCAACGCGTAAGAACTTCTTGGCGAAAAAAAGATCTTTCAAAAAAATTCCAAAAAAACCTCAAGATGAATCCAAACACCTGTAAAATTTCAAAAATTGAGGAAAAAAAGTCCAAAATTTTATTTCTGAGGACGCGACGCGACCGCAGCGCGTATAAACTTTTTGACAAAAAAATTTTTTTAATCAAAAAAATCTTCAAGATGACTTCCCGTAAAATTTCATAAACTGAAGATTTCATTTTGATCTCTTTCCAGACTTTTCTATTTCAAAAAAATTCAATTATCTGATTTTTTTATGGCCGCGACGCGACCGCAGCGCACTGTACTATGTTATTTTTCTTCAAAAAATTTTTTTTTTCAATTTTTTTTAAGCAGTAGATCCTTATTTGAACTCTTTCCAGACTATTATTTATTTAGTAGTACTCAAATAAAAGCAAGGTCACAACTGTACAGCTTGATAAGTTTGTTATTCTCCTACTATTTGCAAGTGTCATGTTTGTTCTCCTACGCTTCTTCTTCTTATCAAAAAGTTTTGAAAACAACAAAAAATTGTATAGTTTTACTATTTTTTACTGATAATTATTTCAAAAAAGGAATTATTTCAATGGAACTTGTTTATTTTTGTCAAAAATACTTATTTCATTTTTTTCTAATTTTGTAACGAGTAGTAAAATAAAACTACAGTAATCCTACAGTAACTCAAATGAAACGCCTTCCTTTCCCATCCGTCGTTGACCAACCAATTGTCCTTTGCGAACCAAAAAAGAGCGAGAGAGTGTGGCAAGCGTGGAGGGCGCGAGATAAAAGTGCAAACGCACTTTTTGCGCGCCGCGGAGAAAAATGCCTGGGGTTACTGTAGGATTGCAGATTTTGCTTTGAGATCTAGGGAGTTTGAAGTTTATCAATGCAAAAATTCAGAAAATTGAAAAAAAAAATCAAAATTATTTTAACTGTTAATTTTCGTGTTCCCAAATCTTCTCAAAAACGCTCAAAAACCCGATTTTTTTCTCCAATTTTCGAAAAAAGGAGGGAGGATAGACAGTACTGTCTTCAAATACAGTCATGATTCCACGGTGAAGTCAAAAGCTCCGAATTTTTCCAGGAAATAGTCGAAAAACCAAAATTTCATTCATTTTTCGAAAAAATCGGAAAAAAATACTATTAATTTCTTCGAATACAGTCCTGATTCCACAGTGAAGTCGAAAATCCCTATTTTTTTCTGAGTAACGTTCAGAAAACCCAATATTTTTCCTTAGAATTAAAAAAAACAGAAAAAAAGACTAGTACTGTCTTCAAATACAGTCGTGATTCCACGGGGAATCAAAAGCTCCGAATTTTTCCAGGAAATAATCGAAAACCCCAAAGTTTCATTCAAATTCCGGAAAAATGAGGAAAAATGACTAGTAATTTCTTTGAATACAGTCCTGATTCCACAGTGAAGTCGAAAAACCCCTATTTTTTTCTGAGCAACGTTCAGAAAACCCAATATTTTCCTTGAAATTAAAAAAAAAACAGAAAAAAGACTAGTACTGTCTTCAAATACAGTCCTGACCCCACAGTGAAGTCGAAAACTTCGAATTTTTCTAGGAAACGGTGGGAAAAAACCCAAAAATCATTCAATTTCCAAAAAAAAACACTGATAACGTATTTAAATACAGTCATGACCCCGCATTGAAGTTTGAAAACTTCGAAATTTCCTGAGAAACAGTTACAAAACCAGTATTTTCCTCACAAGGAAGGTCATCTTACTTGGTGGTTGGGAATTTCTCGAAAAAAACACTCCTTGATGTATCAGAAGTTTATCATAAAAGTCTCATTTTGGAAAACTGTCTAGTTTTTGAGCAAGGACACCTCAAAGAAAACCCTCCAAATTTGTTAAAATGGGTTATTTTTGAGGTTTGATTTCTCATTTCTCGAAAACTAGGAAGTTGTGCAGGTTGGGACTTTCTGAATCTTCTTCTGGTACATCCAGAAGCCTTCTGGCTGAATTTCAAAGAAATATCGAGCACCAACTAACTTGAATTTTTTTCCGAAAAAAACCCAATATTTTTTTAAACTTGGAAAGAATCCTAGAAAAAAAGTGACTAGTACTGCAAAGTTGGCTTTGTTTTTGGGTCAAGTGGGATGGTCGGCGATTGGCCGACTTCCAAAAAAAGGAACGTTCTCCGAGAGGGGGTATTTCGCGTTCGTTTTTCGACAGGGCGATTAGGGCCGGATGCCTCGTGTAATCCAAACAAAACAACAAAACCCCCCCTGCGGCTACTCTCACTTCACTTCACCTCAACTTTCCTTTTTTTTTGTCTCCTAAATCCGTTTGCTTTCGTTACGGTTCCTTTTTGTCCAGCGGGAAGCGATGCTTCTTTCAAGCCTTGAATTTCGTTTTAAAAATTTGGAGGGGGTGGGGTGGGGTCATAAAAGGACTGTATTCAATCCAAATATATACGTTTCTTTGGAAATCTCGAAGCTGTGACTACAAAAATCAACTTTTTTCTCAATAAGCTTGAATTTTAACTGGAGAAAAAGACCTTGAAGAAGTTGAAAAAGAAGATGTTTTTGAAAAGCTTGGGCAAGGCGAAAAATGAATGAATTTTCAGTTTTTTAAAACTTTTCGTTTCAAATTGGGTACAGCTAGAAATGAAAAAAAATTTTTTTCTAATGTTTCGAATTTTTTCAACAGATCCCAGGACTGATCTGAAGATGTTCTCAGCTTTCTTGAGAGTTATTACTTTTTGATCAAGCTGGAAAAACGGAAAGTTCGAAGTTCTCGAAAAACTTCTGGCTGTTAAGCCAGTACGCTTACAAAAACTCCCAGAAACTTCAAACTCTGTGTTTTCGAACCCAAATGGAAAAAAAGTTTTCTTTTATTTCGCCGCCTCGACTTTTTCAGAAAGGAAAATTAAGGCGACTGGGAAAATTTTTAGTGGCCACTATAGTAGCCAAATTAGCGGCCACTTTAGGGGTCAATGGATCAAAATAACTGGTCCAATCTGTTTGTTTTAAAATTATCAGAGTTACTGGAAGAAATACCGGATGAAAAACCACTGAAGTGGCCACTAAGTAAAGAACCTCTATAATGGCCACTAGAACGAAAAATAGCGGCCACTATAGAGGTGGGTTTAGTGGCCACTTTAGTGTCCTCTCCAAGTAGTCCTTGGCGAGCCTCTCTTTCCAATAAAAATGAACAAAACCTGATTTTTTTCAAACCCCCCAAAGAAAAATACGCCAAAATCCTCTCAAGCTAAAAAGGTAGCCGAACTTCCAGAGACATTTAACTAATTTTGACTCCAAATGAGCAAAAAATGTTTTCCTTTCGAACCTAGCAAAGAATAACTGTCCCCAAAGTCCTCAAGGAACTTTTAAGTCCCAATAAATAAACGGAACGATCTCGACGTCATCTCTCGGGGCGGCGCTGCCAGCCAGTTCTGCAGGCGCGGCCCCGCGTGTCTTGTTGCCAAGACAGACCTCGAGATCGAGTTCTGTCGTCGGTCGCCGTCGCGTAGCCCCTTCTGCCAGCCAACCGAGTAGGTTTACTGGGAGTTCAGTTCGGCTTGAAGATTAATTTTCTTACTAGAGTCTGTTTATAGGAGCTTTAAGTAGCGCCTTGAGTGATCTTACTACCTTTTTTTTATTCTTATTTTTTCAATAGCACAGCCCCTTCTGCCAGCCAACCGAGTAGGTTTTCTGAAAGTTGAGTTCGACTTAAAGATTGTTGTGGAGGGAGTTTAGAACTTATTTTCACATGTTTTTCTGATTTGATGAACTTTTCCTAGTGTTAATCATACTTGGGCAGACCATTTTTCAAGGCCACCCACCCCTCTCGAAATTTCATAAATTAGAGTCAGTACTACCTTCTGATGTTATTCTTATTTTTGGCAATATTACCTTCTTGAAGTTAAGAATGATTTTTAATTTTTCTTTTTAAAGAAATTTTCTCGCAATAGATCTTTTTTTCCGAGTTAGGAGCTCAAAATAGCGCTTTTTTTGGCCAATTTGCGTACTTTGCGGACTTTGAAGCTCCATAACGCTTGAAAAGTTAAAATTCTACAGAAAATATGCTTCTTTTGCAAATAAGCTCCGCCCATAAAACTGTGCCATTTTTTCATTTTTTTTTATCTTCGAACTTGCCCAAATCTCTTCTAGTGTCGTAAATATGACTTGATTTACCTTTCTGCTTAAAAAATTGAAAATTTCAGGCCAGATTTATGATAAATCTTTTTTTTTAGTGGTTTGTATGTTCCTAATTTGTTGATTTCAAGCTTTGAAACTGTTTCGAAGCTTTGAAAAAATTTAAAAGTTCCTCATGGAACTTTCAAGTTTGGGTCGAAACAAATACTCTCCCTTTTTATCTGAAGATGATTTTTTAGTTTTGCTTTGAGAATCCGGAATCCCTGACAGTATCCTGTCTTCCCTCCAGAGAAGCCATTCAAAACAACTCGAGGGAATTTCCATAGAAGGGATCCCACTTGAAGAATCTCGACGGGAAACGATTCGGGAGACAAGCTGAAACTGAATAAAAAACAACGCTTTTTTGGCGGCTGTTTTTCAAGGGGGTGAACCGTTCGCTGTACAAAACTACTATTTGAGTGGGGGGTGTTGTTTTTCTATTGACTGTTTTGCAAGCTTTAGGGAGGGGCGGAGCCTCACGGCTTTACCTCCTGGTGGTGCCTTCTCTCTTCTTTGTTTTAACAGTTTCGATCTTAGGGGGGTAGTTCTTGGTCTTTCCTAGTAGTTTTTTCATTGTTTTTTTTGTTTCTTACTCATTTTTTTTTGGAAATTTTGAATCCTCTCAATCTTGATAAGGTTTGGAAGCCAGTAAATCTTTAATATTTGCATTTTTTCAATTTGAATTAACTTTCCAAAACTTCTAATGTCTTGAACCTGCTTCATGTGTTCCTGTCACCAAAAAATTTTTTCAGACCCATTTTTTTTCCACCGACTTTGGCACATATCCAAAGCCATACTTTCTATTTCTATTTTTTTCAAAAAAATTTTTTGGGGGTTTAATGACCTTCCAGACTTTGAAGCAATTTTTCAACCAGCATGAAATCCTCGTTCAAATAAGAACATACTAGAACGGTTCGAGAATTTTATTCGATAAATCTTATCAATTTTAACCATGTTCCTAACTTTCTCCCTGCCCACTCATCTCCAAAAAAATCAAATATTCCATCTAAGTTTCCTCGAAAAACCACGAAAACCATGCAAAGTAGGCGTCCGAGATTGTTATCCCTTGAACCAAATAGCCGCGCATTACGAAACTTCGAGATAACAGCGCAACGACGAACAAAAAGCGACATTACTCTTGTTCCTGTAGCATGAGCAATACGATGAAATGGCCATTTTAGCATTCTTGGGGACGCTAAAGTGGTTCCTAAAAGGACGATCTGAGAGACAGTGAAGACTCTGCTCTAGACACTAATACTCTACAGTCACTCCTCCAGAGACCACGATAACTTTACTAAGATTATAAAGTTTCCAGAAAATTCCCAAGAGTTTTTAGGGGGGGTTAATGACCCTCTAGCCCAAAATATTCAGATTTTTCAGCAATTTTCAACCTCCTAGTTCAAAGAAGAACAAACTTGAACGGTTCGAGATTTTATCCTTCCTTATTCCTTCGGTTCCCGGCCATGTAAACACATCGGTTCGAACGAAGATTGGACTGAAAATATGGTTGGAAGAAGTTTTTTGACTGTAAAAATGGGTTGAGAGTCATTTTCTCTTTTTCTGCTTTCATTGCTCATGTAAGAAATATTCAGCTTCTCCTCCAAAGTTCAATATGATAGTTTGAAAATTTCTTAATCATTATATATTCAGCCTTTTTATTGCTCATATTATAATTATCCAACTTCTGCTGCAAGCTCAAGAGTCCTTAGGTTCCTAGAAGCTGATTTAAAGGATTTTTTTTGATTTCAAACATCTCTAGCCCTCTTAATTGCTCATGTTAGAGATATTTAGCTTCTCCTGCAAAGTCAAGGGTCATAAGGTGTCTAAAAGCTAACTTCAAGGATTCTGGTTTTTAGGCTTTTTCATATGTTTTTGTTGCTTTTATTTAGAGTCTTTTTGCTCAGAATTGCTTATATTAGAGATTTCCAGCTTCTCCAGCAAAAAATAAGCTCATAAACTATTTAAAACCTGTTTTTGAAGGTCCTGTTGCCTTTTATTGCTCATATTAGAGGTTTCTAGTTTTTCACACAGAGAAAGTTCTTCTACTTCCACAAACGTTTTGATTTTTGTTTCACTACTCAAAAAAAGGGGCGTGTCGAAAATTGGAACGTCTTCTGGTGCGGCCTTGCAGGTTATCTATGCGGCCGACAGTTGACCAACATTTTTTTCTTCTTCCTCTTGATTCTTCTCGAGAAAAAATGAAGAGAAACGGAAAAAAAATTCTATGCGAAAAAAAAAAACTTTTGGCTTGGTTTTTCAAGTGTTTTCTTTTCATGTAATGCTTGACCCTTTTTTCTTTCCTAGCCTCATTTTCGGTTTCTCTAGATCTTATTTGTTTTTTCCTCTTGTCATTATTAGATCTGGTTACGGTGGGGATACTGTAAGACTGTAACATTTTTATACTTGACTGAGAATATTTCAATAGTGTCAAAAATTATATTTTTGCGATATTTTTGAACTTTGAAACGTATTTTCTTCTTATTTTGCGTTCATTTTTCCTTTTTCGTTTTCAATTTACGGTAGATTACTGTAGCTAGCCGTTTGAATTTTTTTTTTCATTTTTAGCCGAATTTGGCTACTGTGGGTTACTGTAGCTTCTACAAACTTTTCTACAAAACTCAAAATTTATTATTTCTGGACTAACAAGCTCTCTTTCAATTGAAGCTTTAGTCGAACGTCCCTTCTAATCTCAGCTAACATGAGCAATAACATGAATTTTCATTTTTAGTTGATTTTTTGCATTAAACAGCTGAAAAAAAATCAAATTTCGTTTGAATCTCATCACGGTAAATTTTGAATAAATTTTTTTGGATCCCTGCATTTTTTTTGAGCTTCACTAGCTTCTCTCAGTGATTCTACAAAGTTTCTTCTCACTTCTCTCGTTGCTTAGTACTTTTCAACCCAGGAACGCGTAAAAAAATGCTCAAACATTGGTGGAAAAAAAGGAAAAACAAAAATGACCAGTCGCACTGTTTATTTGTACAGTTTGCAGTTTGTCTAAAAAAAAAGCGGGAGATCTGTTGAGGTGCTTTGCAAATAAACAATTCAGTTGCGTATCGTTGGTCCGGACCGCCGGAGTTTTAGTTATTTGCTCCAGGAGGCCGTCCGACGTTCCCTTCGGGGGGCTCAGGCTGAACATAATTAGCAACTGGCCATTGGAAAGCGTGTCGGCGGCATGGCTCAGTCGGCAGGGGTCTGGGCTTCTGCTGGTTGGGTCACAAGTTCGGGTCCTTTTGGTTGAAAAAATTCTTGTCACTTTCTTTGGTTCCTCCCTTACTTCTCTTTTTCGACCTTAACCAGAACTTAAACAATTACATCATATCTGAAGCTTGATTGTGAATTCTGACATTTTTCCCCTCAACTTTGAAGTCTTGCATGCTGATAAAAGCCAATTCGTCGGCATGGCTCAGTCGGCAGGGGTCTGGGCTTCTGCTGGTTGGGTCACAAGTTCGACTCCTACTGGATAATTTTTTTTTTTCATTTTTTTTTTTGTTTTGCCAAATTTTGATCTTTTTCCGAATCGAATTTATCATTTTTTTCCGGGGTTCAGGTCGCCCGAACATAATTAGCAACTGGCCGTTGGAAGTCATGTCTGCGGCATGGCTCAGTCGGCAGGGGTCTGGGCTTTTGCTGGTTGGGTCACAAGTTCGGCTCCTCTTAAATGATTTTCTCATGATTTTTTTCTGCCGAACCGAATACATCTTTCTCTCCAGATCTCAGGCCGTCAAAAGCCATGTCGGCGGTATGGCTCAGTCGGTAGAGGTCTTGGTTCCCGCTGGTTGGGTTGCAAGTTTGACTCCTCTTAGTTGAATATGCCACTTTATTTGGTTCATCCTAACCTTTTATCCGAAAATTCACCCATTTAATCTTATTGAAAGCTTCATCGTGTATTTAATCATTTTCCACTCCATTTTCAAGTTTCTCATGCTTTCGAGAGTCGTTTCGGCGGCATGGCTCAGTCGGCAGAGGTCTGGGTTTTTGCTGGGTGGGTCACAAGTTCGACTCCTCTCCAGTGCTTTTCCCTCGATTTTTTGTTTGCCGAATTTTTCGCGGATTTTCTTTCTTCATTTAAGTTTCTTTGTTTCCTTTACTATTTTTTTTTTTGAGGTTAGAAAAAAATTGGTTTTCTGTTACCAGAGGGACAAGATCTATATACCCTTCAAAAAAAAAGGTCAATCGTAGATAGCATGCTTTTCGACTTTTGAGGGTCCATAACTTTGTTCACAGATGTCCTAGGCAGTTTTTAAGACCAGATTTGGAAACAGCGTGAAAAACTACGTCTAGTAGATTGGGTCTCATTTCGGAGTCCCACTGGAGTCCGTTCCCTGGTCCGTTCAGGTCAATCTGAGTTCTGTAGATGCTCACCTAACATCTGAAAGATCTCCAGACCCGACTTTTGCCGCTCTTTCCTTCCAACCAAACAACTTGCCAAGTTCAATCTGCCCCTCGTCATTCCTCATCCCATCTCCTTCAAACAGTCACAACAAGTCGACGCCGTCGCAAACAATGACAACTTGTAGGCGAGAAGAAGTACGGGCCCAAATCTGCCGAGAAGCGAGTCTCGACAGAGCGAGTCTTCTTTTTTTCTCAAGAAGGGGGATGCAGATGGGCAAAGAGACAATAGATCTGCCAGTGGAACCGTCTTACCTCGAGAATGTCATTTTTCCACCCGTTTTCGGCCCTGATCTGATCATTTCGAAGAGTTGCCCGGAGCAGTGGCGGTTGTTTCCTTTTCTTGTTTCATTTTTCCCCTTTTCCTCCCGTTTTCGTTCCTGATCGGATCATTTTGGAGTGTTGGTCAGATCAGATGTGACTTTTGCCTTTTCTTGTTTCATTTGAGCTTTTTTTCTCCCTCTTTTCTCCCGTTTTTGGCCCTGACTGATCATTTCGGAGTGTTGGTCAGAGCGGATTTGGCTCTTGCCTTTTCTTGTTTCATTCGAGTCCTTTTCTCCCTCTTTCCGCCCGTTTTTGGCCCAGTTTGAAAAGTTGCCCGGAGCAACAGTGGCTGTTTCCTCTTCATGTTTCAGTCAAGTTTTTTTTTCCCTCTTCCTCCCGTTTTCGGCCCGATCTGATCATTTTGAAGAGGAGACTATAGCCTTTGATTATTTCATCCGAGTCACTTTTGAATCAAGTTAGCTCAGTCGGTTGAGAAATCCAACTTCAAGAAGTAGGTTCTCGGTTCGGATCCGCTTACCAGGGAATGGTCGCAGTGGGACCTCTCAATGAGACCAAGTTTTCCAGATGTAGTTTTTTACGCTGATCTCAAATCTGGTTTCAAAAAATGCCGAGCCATCATATATGACGTGTAACTTCATCTGTCGATCAGCCTTATAAATTACATCTAGAAAAATTGGTCTCATTGAGAGGTCCCACTGCGACCGGAGACCATTCCCTGGTTAGTTTTAATTTTTCGTTGCACTCGAGTTTTTTTTTAATGTTTTTGGTCCTAGGTTCGGTTCCTCTTCATACGATTTTGTTTTGTTTTTATTAAATTTTTCCTTTGATTTTTATTGATAATGGCTCTCTCAATAGGTTCTTATGATCACCTAGAAACCGTTTTCTTTGTTATTTTTTCGAAGTCTGACGTAGCTCAGTCGGTTGAAGTCCTCAATACCATCAAAAAGGTTCTAGGTTCAGTTCCTCTTCATACGATATTGATTTTTTCTTTCTCAAACTTTTTTATTTGATCTTTACTGATACTGACTCTCTCAACAGGTTCTTATGATTACCGAGAAACCGTTTTCATTGTTATCGATTGCAAGTTTAGCTCAGTCGGTTAAATCCCTCACTATCATCAAAAAGGTCCTTGGATCGGTTCCTCATCTCGTTTTTATCATCTTTTGCAAAGTTCTTCATTCATATTTCCACTCCAACTTTTTTATTTTCTACTAGAAATTCTCAATCCGACCCCTTTACATGTCATGAAAGCACTATTCTCTCATAACCCTTCCCAAAAGTTCGCAACATTTCCGTCGCCTCAAAAGGAAATGAAAACCTTTTTTGCCGTGTTTCGATACGGTACCTATGCTGACGAATTCAGGAAATTTGACTTTTTTGCTCGAAAAAGTCATTATTAGCCTGGATAAGTTTCCAATTTCCGGCCTTTTCCCCGCATTTTTTGTTGTGGTTTCTATGATTTTTTTTTTCATATTGCTCATGTTAGAGCTTTCTGTGGGTGTATCAAACATAGACTTTTTGAATATTGGAACTCTTCAAAATGCTAAAAATTGATCATGGTTATTTAAATATTGCTCATGTTATCCATTGAGTTTCTCACCTCACAAAGTGATTTAGAAAAATATGGAAGAATCTCACTTTTCTCGAGTTCCGTAGATCAAATCAGAAAAATGCTGATCTCAACTCAAATCGAAAAGAGGCGGGGCCTAATGACGTCATTATTCTGTTTTAAAGTGACGTCAGAGGTGATAGTTATTGATTTTTTTGAAAAGTTCATTTCTATCGAGCTTTATCAGGCCACGCCTACATGATGTCATAAAACTTGAAGTATAACATGAGCAATAAATCTGGGATAATTGTTATGATGAGCAACATGCTTTCTCCATATTTACATAATAATAAAATTGTTGAAAATCTCCATTTCTATCATTTTTTTCCTGAAAAGCCTCTATGACGTCATTGAACATTTTGGAGTTTTAACATGAGCAATAAAGTTCGCTTAATGGCTAACCTGAGCAACAGGCTTTCCACGTATTTTTATAACTATGAAATTTCGTAAAAGTTCACGTCTATCAATTTTAATTCTGCACAGCCTACATGACGTCATTCAACACGAATTTCGGAGTCTAACATGAGCAATAAAGATAGGTTCATGGCTAACCTGAGCAACATCCCTTTTTCCTGAGACTTTGAACAATTTTCGCCTTTTTATGTCTTAAAAATACTCAAACAATAATATTTCTAATATTTTAGGACCAATGAAAACTATGGGTGAGATGATCTGCGAGCCGCAGGCGACAACCATTCCCATATCACTTTATCAGTTGATACCCAGTTTCGCAGCGACGACTATCCGAGAAGGTTGGATTTGTTTCAAAAATTTAGTGAGGAGAAAAATTGAAATAAATTGATTTTTCAGAGCCCAAAAAAAGGTACTGACAGTAGATATTACTTAATCCTCGATCACGATTAAAAGGCCTTTTTCATTAAAAATTATAAAACTGAATATTTTTAATCGAAAAGTTCTGTTGACTTCAAAATCAAGCTGTTCGAACGATTTTTAAATCCTAGAGACAACCATCACAAAATTCGCTTCTTTCTCGAATAATAGCCGATCCAAGGAGACCCTAAAAAAATGAAAAAATATCGATTTTCAGAGCCCAAGAAGGTATATTACTGTCAGAGATGCCTCAATCACAACAGGGCGGAGCCGAGGAAAAATCACAAGGTATTTAAAAACATTCCTGTTTCAAAGAATGGTTTTTGAGAGAAAAACTCTGGAAAAAAACAAAGAAAAAAACCAGATTTCATGAAGAAACTTGAAAAAAATGTATAGACTGCGATAACTTGAGAGTTGCAGAGAAACAAAGAAATTAAAAAAAAATACGAATTTTCAGATTTTTTTCTCGAAAATTAAAGTATTTTTGAGAGAGAAACCTTTCTAAAGTCGAAAAAAAGCAAGATTTCGAGAACTTGAATGATTTAGAGATAAAGAGTGTGATGAATTGAGAGACGCAGAGAAAAAAATAGAAAGATTTGAAAAATAAACCAAAAAAAGTGAAAAAAACGTCAATTTTTTTGCAAGATTCATGATTTTTTTAAGAAGAAAAACCCTTGTGTAAAAAAACCAAAAAAAAGCAAGATTCCAAGAATTTGAATGATTTAGGGAGAAAGTGTGTGCTAAATTGAGAGACGCAGAGAAGCAGAAATTTTTTTGAAGTTTTATATGAAAAAAAGCATAAACACAACTTTTTTTCAATAAAAAAAGGTAACTTCATTTTTCATGAAAACTAAAAAAATTGATATTCGAAAATTCCTATTGATGGTTCCACAATTATAACTTGAAGATTAAGAGGAAAAAAATGATTTTTTTGATTTTTGGCTAGACCTTCTAGGTCAACTTACTGTTTTATCTAGATTGTAAAAAAATTTTGAGCGGAAAAAAACCGTTGTAAAACGCCTTCGAAACTTTATAAAAGCTGATAAATCGATAAAATTTGCAGTGCGATTGCCCTTTCGCCAAGTGTTCCTGTTTCAAATGTAGTTTGGTCGAGAAACGACGTCGTCTGAATCTTCAGCTTCACGAGTTGGAAGGCGACGTCGAGAAAAAGGATGTGAATGATGATGATGAGGATCGTTCGAGGAATAAAGGAGGTTATCAATGAAAAATCGAATTCACATCATTTTCTTTGAAAAAGGTATTATAGTCTATGTACCAGGATTTGAAAATTCATGGTTTCTATACGAAAATGTTGTAAGAAAGGGTGGGAAAATATGAAATTTTCGAAAATTCCGGATCCGGAAAAAAAAACTTCCGGCTCGAAGAATCGCTTTTTTGGAAAGATAGGGATATTTTTTCAAGGATGATGGTATGACTCTGATAAGAGATAGTAGAATTTGTAGTCAAGTTTTCGAAAAAAAATTTGTTTGTTTTTTTTGGAAAGAAAGTGATACTATTTCGAAGATGATGATGATTTTGATGAAAAATAGGATTTGAACTTAACTTTTGAAAAAAAAAATCCGGTTCAAAAAATTTTCGCTGATTTTTTAGATAATTTCCAATTTTGATTAGAAATTTTGCTGATTTTCAAAATAAAGCAATACTTTTTTCATCGATAATGTTCCAGTTTCGATAAAAAACAGATGAATCTTAACTCAGCTTTGAAAAAAATCACATAAAAGTACTCAACTTTTTAAAATATTTTTTAATCCAAAAAAATTTTTTTCTGATTTTTTTCTGAACAAAACTTATGATACTTTTGAAGGTTTAACTTTCCAATTTTGATGAAAAATATTATAAATACTAGAAAATTTTCGGTTCAAGGAAGTATTGCCGACCATTTGGAAGTAAGTATGTGTGCCACGACTTGAAAATTCACGGGACGACATTCCGCTGTGCCGCTGCGTGCCTTTGCGAACCTTGGTCGCGTTTTTAATTTTTTTTTTTATTAAGGTATTCTATTGCCTGTGTACCCACAGCAAAAACAATCAATTGAAAGATTCGAAAAACGCTTCGCGACCGCACGCAGTGGAACAGCGGAATGTCGTTCAGTGAAATTCCAAGTCGTGGCACACATACTTACTTCCAAAAGATCGGCAATACTCCCTTGAACCAATGAAAAAAGTGTTGCTTTATTTTGAAAATCAGCAAAATTTCTCATCTACTTGGGAAATTATCTTTGAAAAAAAAAAATCTTCCTTCTAAATAATCAGCGAAAATTTTTTGAACCGGATTTTCTGAAAATTCGACTACAAATTCTACTATTTCTTATCAAAGTCATACCATCACCCTTGAAAAAATATCCCTCATTTTCAAAAAAACAATATTTCTTCGAGCCGGAAGTATTTTTTTTCCAGATCCGGAACTTTCGAAAATTTCCCATTTTCCCACCCTTTCTTACAACATTTTTCGTATAGAAACCATCGCGGATTATCACTACTTCCTTAAAATCCGTCCGGAATTTGTCATTAGCCGCAATTTCTCCTTCTCCTGGAGATTTTATGCACTTTGTTTTTACTTTGCCTAATAGCTTGTTCATCAAAAAAATCGGCATTATGAGCTGGTTTTGGTGTTTCAAAAATGGGCTAGATGCAAAATATTAAATTTTTTTGCAAAAATAAAACTTTTGGCTTTTTAGGGCAAAAAAATCATGATAATAGTTCCTTTAAGTGGTCACTTGAAATTGTTATATTCGATTAGTCCTGCGAAAGTTTTTTAAAGATCAAAAAAATTAAACTTATTCCACTTATATTCTGAGCTTCTACATTGAGAAAAGAAGACGGCGAGTAAAATAATTTAGAAAAATTGAAGTTTCAGGAATTTTTAAATTTTTAAAATTCTAGAAAAAGCAAAAAAATTATTTTTTTCAATGGAATCGCAATTCGCATAAAATCCCTATTTTTTTCTCCCAATAAAAAAATAATGACCTAAAATAGAACTTTCCATGTTAACTTGTACAAATCTCATCCAAAAAAAGTCAAGGTTCAAAAATAAATGTTTTTCTTGAATTTACAAATTCCAGATTTCCTTCTCATTTTTCCACGAATAAGATTTCCAAATTCGAAAAAAATATTCCTTCTCATCTTCCAAATGGTATAAAAAAACCTTAAAATGGAACTTTTTTTAATATCAAATTGTAGAAATATTTTTTTCTTTATTTGAACTTTACAATTTACAGCTTTTTCCTTCTCTCTTTCAACAACTGAAGCTTTTAAAATAATGAAAAATATCCCTCGTTTTTCATATCCCCCCAAAGAATAATGACCCAAAAATCAGACTTTTTTAAGTTTTTTTGAAAATTCAAGATCTTGTATAATCTCCTCTCCATTTGAACTCCGTAAGTTCCAGCTTTTCCTTCTTCTTTCCAACAACTGAGACTTCGAAATCCGACAAAATATTCCCCATTTTCCCATCCCCCAATGAAAAATAACCTAGAATAGAAACGTAAAGGAATGTAATTGTGAAACCTGCGCGTGTCCGTGTCACGCTCTCCCCGTTTTTTTCGCCCTGCTCCAGCTCTCCTGGCTCAGGCTCAACAATGGAGTTGTTGTTGGAACGGAGCGTAGTACGGCACGCTACATCCCCCCTTTTTTTCTCCATTCTTTTTTCACAAATTTCCGTCCATTTCGAGGCTCGAAAACAACTTTTTCTTCCTCTGCATGTTTCATGAGTCGAAAAGTGAACGCCAAAAGCCCAACTCTCTTTTTTTTGCATTCTTAATGAATGTCTAGAAGAATGGAGTCGTGGCAAATTGAGGCTTGCACAGTGTTGCTCATTTTAGAGGATTGATCTGTTCAGACAACACAAAAAATGGCAGATTCCAGTGAAATCGGGACAATTTCCAAAGTTTTCCTTATTTCACTTAAAAAAGTAAGAGTTAGGAACGTATTGCTCAGGCTGACAGTACATTGCACCTTATGACTCATGTTAAAGAAACTACAGAAATAATGAAAAATCGAAGTAAGAAACGCCGGCCTGAAAAAGGGTTAACTCAGTTTATTGACGGAATTGCATTTTATTGCTCATATTAGACAATTATTTACTTTTGTATTCAAAAACCTATCGCTAGGAAGGGACTAGTGGAAAGTATTGCTCAGGCTACCGAATATTTCAACATATTGCTAATGTTAACCAATTTTCCGGAAATCTTGCTCATGCTACAATTTTCCAGGATATAAATATTGCTCAGTGTTGCTCATGTTACAAGTTTAAAGTTAATTTCTTTTCCTATAAATTAACTTTTTTTCCGCCAAAATTAAATATTTCTGGTAAAGAAATTATAACTAACGTTATGGGAACATTGCTCAGTGTTGCTCATATTATAAGCTTGAAAATATTTAGAAAGAAATGAAAGGAAATCGCTGTTAACTGTTATCATCATTAAATTCAGAACTAGTTGCCATGTATTGCTCATGTTTGCTCAGTAATTCTAAACTTAGCCTAAATTTATGGAAAAAATTAGAATATAGTCCAGTCAAAAGAGAGCTGCTGTTTGAAAATTTTCAAATCTATTGCAAAAATCGGCGAAAATTCTTTTTTTATTGATATCTGTTTCAGCTTTTCCTCCCACAATTTTCCGAAAGCTTTTCCCGTAAATGAGTCATTTGTGGTCGGATTTGAGCGACGACAAAATAATTTCGTGTCTCTTTTTTAATTTTCCAAAAGTAGCAAGAAAAAAAGGGCATAATGTATAAATCCCGCTTGATCTCCTCTTTTTGGATCTACCGTAACCGAAAAGCTTAGCTTTTGCTTGACGTGTTTCGGATAAGGAGATTTGAAACTTTGGAGATGGTCCGGTTGGTCGGAAGTTATTTAGGAATGTTTTAAAGTTTACAAAAAAATCTTAAAACCCAAATTTTAAAAAACCTACAAAACCTGGACAGGGATTGAACCAAGGAGTCTTTGACTTGTAGACCAAGATCTTAATTAGCTTGAATTCAGTTTTTTTGTCCCTGGTTGTTGAGATTTGAAACTATTTATCAACAAGAAAAACGCCTATTTCGAGTTTGGAAATGGCAAAAAAGTTCTCTTCTTGACGGGGATTGAACCAAGAAGTCTTTTACTCGCTCACCAAAACTTAACCGGATCTGCCAACTCTTAGAAGAATTTTTTTTCATTTTTCATTTCGAAGTATTTTCTTAGAATCTGTCATACCATTCCTCATGATAAAGAATCTCTTCAAGGCTCCGAAAAAAGGCAAAAATGATCCCGCTCTTGACAGGAGTCGAACCAAGAAGTCATTTTCGATCGTTTCGGGCCTATATAACATATTTTCCTTCTGTTTTCAGCCGAACTTTGGAACTTTTTATGAAAATATCTTTTAAATTTCAAAAAAAATTACAGATTTGAGACATAAAACGGCGAAAAAAAGACCGGTCCTTGTGAACATAACCATTGACGTTATTTCACGCCAAATTCTCGGTGATTTTTCTGAAAAACAGTATTTTCTCAACCGTATTCTTAAAAAAAATCATAAAGTCTCAATTTCGTCCAAAATATAGTTTTCCCTGCCAAAAAACTTGGCTGACGTCTTTTTTTCCAGCTTAATTCGGTCTGGGAGACAGAAACGGTTGTTTTGTCACAACAATCGTAGTAATATAAAAATAATAATATTATTAATACTCCCATTAACATATTGAGAGAAGACCTATGAACCTTTTGTGTTGGAAAACAAACGTGTTTTGTTTTTCGCTGTAACATTTTTTGCAGACTAATTTTGTCGAGTTTTGAACCTGGGAATTTTCGAAAATTGAAGGGATGAGCTTCAAAGAATCATCTGAATCTTTGGAAAAAATGGAAAAAAAACGTCGGAAGGACTCGAACTTGTGACCTTTTCATCCTTGAAAACCTCAGCAATTTCTTTTTTCTAGCTACGAAAACTCAGAAAAATGGCAAAAACGTCGGAAGGACTCGAACTTGCGACCTTCTTATCCTTGAAAACCTCAGCTATTCATTTTTCAAGCTGCTGGAGCTTCAGAAAAATGGCAAAAACGTCGGAAGGACTCGAACTTGCGACCTTCTTATCCTTGAAAACCTCAGCTATTCATTTTTCAAGCTGCTGAAGCTTTGGAAAAATGGCAAAAACCTGGACTAGACTCGAACTTGCGATCTTTTTATCTTTGAAAACCACAGCAATTTTTTTTCTAGCCACTGAAACTTTTCAAA